GGTGAAATCAAGAAGGCGCCGCGTGCGTGGCGGTGGCCGAACATCCCCAAAGGACACCCGAGACTCGAGACTCGTTTCTAGGGCCGCAGGGCCCTTAGGTTTGTGCTGACCTCCAGTCTGCATTCTTGCAGGAAGCGGCCTCTGTCAGCTCCAGCTCCATCACACCAGAGCCTTTTTCGCACTTTCATGCAGGTCTCGTCCGAGGCGGAACAGTGTGCATGACACGCAGGAGAAGTTGGAAAAGCCAGCGGGCAGGAAGACGACCCAGAGCAAGACAACATCGAAGGATTGCCGATGAGTTAGTGTCCGACTAGGGAGTTTTGAGATCCTGGAGAACTCAGCAATCCGCAGTGTGTCCTACAGTGTGCAGTATGTTGCCCTGGTATCGAATCTATCTGCAGAGCTGGTTGGACAGTCGATCCCAGTTTCGCAGTGTGATGTTTTACTAGTCTGATAGGCGACGCAAAGCACTACTACAGATGCAGCCACTGCATCTACTCCAAATGTTGCGGTCTTGGATTGCCTTTTCCACAGCACGTACATGTCCACTGTCAGATGGTGTAAAACTGCAAAGGTGCCGCTACCTGTTGGCTGGGTCCAGGCGACAAGCATACATGTTTTCACGCAACTGGTCTCCATCTTTGCCATGCATTTCGAGGCATTCCAAAAAGATTCAGAATTGGTGCCTTCATTGAGCCAGCGTCTGGAGGCAGCTGCATCCTGAACTTGACATGTCTGTAAGAAGCTGTGCACTTGCCTAGCTTCTTTCAGGCGTTCCATGCGCAGCGAGCAAAGCAAGGGGAGGCTTCCAAGTTTCCCACGACTGAAGATACCTTGAGTCCTTGCGCGCAAAATTTCATTGTCGGAGCTTGGAGGTGGCGGCTGCGTTGGCAAGCTGCTGGGTTGCACTTTGTATCCCAAACAGTGTGGTAACAGTATGGAGCTCCTGTGTTAGCCGAAAATTTCGAGGTGGGCCATGCGGCATGCGCAAAAAAGCTCCCCGTGTCCCGTCTCTCGCTGTGGTGCGGTGGGTGCGGCGCATGCCTCGGGGCCAGGATTCATTGCGATATGGACAACCACTTTTGGCTCTCGAAAACATTGAAGTGCAGCAGGGCTTGGGGAAAAAGTTCGGGGTGTCTCTCTAGATCCCAGAAGCTGCGGTGGGTGAGCATACGTCTCATGTTGCTCGGTCCTGGATCCGCCTGTATTTGGGGGAAAGAATTTGCTCTGTGCCCCTGAATCCTTCTGAATCCTGTCAGTATTTGGGGAAGGCATTCCGGGAACGGTCCCCGATGCGCCAAATCTCTTGGGACAATGTCCTCGTCTCCTTTCCTGATCTCTGCTGGTCTCTCTTCATGTGTCCGGTCTCCTGGGGGGGTCTCCTGCTGCTGTTCTCTTGGTGGTCTCCTGCTGTCCTTGTGGTCCCTTGGATGTTTTCTGTTGGTTTCCTGGTGGTGTCTTCGCCTGGTTCTTGCTGGTGGTCCCCGACGGTTGCTGAATTTCTCGACCCTCCAAACTCGTGTTTTCGAGTACAGTACGCCTCCAAACTGGTGTGTTTCGAAGGCGTGGTACACGGACTGCTTCTCGAGGCCCGTGGAGCTCTGGGGCCTCCAACTGGTGTGTTCGAGTACAAACGTAGCGCGCAGAATGCTTCCCGCAGGCTCCAGAGCTCTGGGCCTTCAAACTGGTGTTTTCCAGTGCAGCTGGAATACAAGTCTAGTGCGCAGGAAAGTGGCATCACTGCTGGAAGAACACACATGGCAACTAATTGGTTGCGACCTCTATGTTTCCCAGCATGGGCAAGGACTCAGGTGTTGCAGTGTTTGGAGATCTCCGCCGGCATAATTGAAGAGTGGATCTGCCGGCCTTGCCCGCACTAAGGCTGCGATAGCTCTTCATCATCCAGTGAGGGGGAGCTGAGCAGCTTCCTGCCTTTCCAGATTTAGGATTCAATATCCTGATGTGGAGCTGGCCCTCTGCGGTTCTTGGGCTGCAATCCCATATCCCATCTAAGGCGGCGAGTGCGATCGTGTTTATGCAGAGCTTCATGTGCCGGGCTTAGTACGAGGTGTCGGGCGCTTGCCACACACCTGCACAAGATATGTGTGCAAGGAGTGCAAAGTTGTGAGGCACGCATTCATCGAGAGTGCAAGCATCTGCGAGCCACTCGCAGACAGGCGTGGCTTTGGCCATGTTCTCTTTGAGTCCGCGGCTGTCGCCTCCCTTGCGCAGGCTTGAATCCGGAACCACCTCTTCAAGCCTTCTTTGCTACAGCTTAAATGGCTTGTGCCATTTTGCTTTCTGAGGGATATTTTTACTGGGTGAAATTCAGTGGACCAGGCTTCTGCTACAATGCTACCAGCTGCCAGATTGGTTGCAAAAAGAGCATGTTTAATTGATGTAACAGCGCGAAGCCTGGATCGGTCCGACTGAGGGGGAGAGGGCAAGGCATGCGGTCTTGGGGACGTGAGCGCTGGCCTTGCGCCCGCGGGCGGAGCTTCGAGCATTTCGGTGCGGTGGAAAAGAAGAGACACGATAACGTACTGTCTGCCTCCGAAACTACATGGAGTTTAATGATGACTTGCCAGAAGTGTTGCAATTGCCTGAAGACAGCTCCAGTGACAATATTCTCTGGCAGAGCTTTCGCGTCGCTTTGCCAAGAGGAAAGCCTGTACATATGATGCGGTTTGCAGATGTTTCCACAGGTTTAGCACGTCCCTTCAGAAGTTTCAGGCCACCGGGGACAAGGGCCCCGTGTGCCTGTGCCCTGGCAAGGTTCCACAGCCAGGTGTCCAGGGCTGCGCAGTCTGCATATTATGTCCGCAGCTACTTGTGTCGTCAACTTTGATTCGGTTTGCAAACCACTCTTGATGTCGATTGCTGGCAGCTCCTAATGGAACTGTGGGGACTCTTGCTCAATTCATGGAAATTCGATGCATGTTTCTTGCACCTTCTGTCAAATGTCAAGCGCTTGCTCAACGAGTTCTTCCGGACACTTCGCGCGATTTTCTCATGAGCAGGCCATGGTGGTTCATGGCTAGTTGTGATTGAGTGAGCCAGGCAGAGCTTCTGGGGGACAGCATGTCGCTAGCCGGATTCAGGCGGACCCGTGGCCGCGGTGAACCTGCGAGACAGGACCACTGTCACGAGAGTTCAACAGTTGAGCTGCTGGCAGCTTCGGTGTGCAGGTGCTCGACAGAGTTCATGTGTTCGTGCATGTTAGACTCGTCGTGGAGTTGTGATTCTTGTGCGCATTTCAGCAAAGGTGGGGCAGACTGGGCTGGCTGAGAAGATGTTTCTGATGGTGTAGATGCGAGGCAATATTCCAGGAGGTTTTTGTCTTGATGACTGCTGGGTGGAGCGGCCGTATGCGGCCTTGAATCTCCCGAATGTTTTTTTGGTTCCCAGCCGGTACACATGCGCTGAATCGAAAAGTGCGCTGCCGTGCTCTGAGTCTCTTGTGTGGTTCGACTGACCTGCAGGTTTCTTATGCACGGCTCCGATTCACAAAGCAGTTTGCAAAACAAGACTGGACCATGAAGTCCCAATTCAGTGATAGAGAACGTGTTGCGACATGCCGGTACTGACACAGAGCATTCGTCAATGTTTTGGCAATTCTCTGAGGCTCGAGCAGATGTGTGGGGAAATCGAGGCTGGGCGCCACGCCGAGAACCTGAGGTTGCTTGTCAACTCAGCAAGAGGCTGACATTTCGTTGACAACAGCGAGCCCGTCCTGCACCCAGTGCAGCATGTAAATTTGGCAGACTGCGTCTACCGTCAAGTTCAGCATTGCTTTTCTGTCTTTGGGGGTTGGAGGCCGAAGCGGAAAGCAGAGGCAATGCATGATCAGTCGAACAAGCGCTCAATGCTGGATCAGGCGAGTTGCAATGCATTTTTCAAAATGTTTCCGGTTCTCGTCCGATGGTGCAGGAGCACAACAACAGAGGGCATGGGCCTCTTCAATCTTCATCGGTAACAACACTTCCACCAGTTGAGATCTCACAGGACTTGCTGGCACTGTCACGGTCTCTTGTCACGTTCATAGATTTTCCCAGTGCTTCTCGTGCCTTCATTCGGCGGTCAAGTTTGGCTCTGTATCACTGCCCTGGCTCTGAAGGATGTGCCGATGCATCTGCCGGCGGAAGAGACTCAGGCAGCTCCGCAGCCGTCGTGCAATTATGCTGTTCAGGGTCCCGTGATCACCATGATGCACGTAAATATAAGTAAATGCTGTCGGTGCTCTCTGCGAGGGTCTTCGCAGTGATTTTTGGATAGGAATCCCAATTCACAGAGAACTGGCAGCAGGCATCTTTGAGTTTCGGTAGACACTTTGTGCTATAGACGAACACGGAATCACGCACCTCCTGCGGAAGCATACGGATTTTTGGCGAGTCAGGCCCCTTGCGGGTCAGAGTGTGCGCAGCGGCTCCTTTTATTCAGACTGGTCGCGTGATGCATTGAGCTGTGCACTACATCACTCCCTGCTTCATGGAGACACCCGAGGAGTGGAACTTGGATTGAAATTTCCCTGCTGGCAGTCGTTTCGTGCAGTCCATCACCACTTCTTTGTCATTTTCCCGTTGTCTATCTTGTCATTTCCTACTGAAGTGTCATGTGTTTTGGCGGTACTTTTCCGTGCTTTGCAAATGAGATGGAAAGTGTTTTCCACTGCATCGTGCGAATCCCACGCCTTTTTCTCCAAAAGAATGTCCACCTTGGACTTGGACGCTGCGGACTTAAATGCCCTTGTTGTGTCTTCGGCATTCTTCGGCAACCACCAAAACTAAGCGAAACTGGATCATGAGATGCCGTGTATCCGTGTTTAAGTGTGGCAACAGGCATGTGCTCGGCTGTGGAGTACCAATAGTTGTTTGACCACACGCAGCTCCCTACCAACCTCACTGGTCTCTGCCCTTGGCAACGTGAGTCTCGGCCATGTGCCACAGCTGGTTTGATGAAGGCTACTTCTTTGTTGCCTTTCGACTCATTGTATCAACGTCATGTCTCAGGCGCGGGCCCAGGACCCAACCAGGTCCACAACCATGGACGTCCCTACGCGATCCGAGCAGGTGCGACGTTGCGCGCTGTGGGTTTGTAAGTCCCAAAGTCTTGTGAACTTCGGCGAGTGAAGTGCAGGTGGACGTGCCTGAGACAGCGAGCGACCTGCTGGATCAGGGCCCATGCGAAGCCGAGCGAGATCCGGAGGGCGGCCTGTGGTTCTTCCTGATGGATGCAGTTGAAGACGACCGAGCCAGCCCGCCCCGAGTCTATCTTTTCGGCAAGGTGAAGGTCCGCTCGGGCTCGTCAGAGTATCGCAGCTGCTGCCTCGTGGTTGAGAAACTGGAGCGTTGCTTTCATTTGCTGCTCAAAGTCGAGGACCCTTCAGACAACGAGTCGGCACAGATAGCCGCTAATGCAGCTGCCGGGGAGCTTGAAACGCTGAGAAAGGACAAATTTCCAAACATGAAGGTGATCCGCAGCAAATTAAAATTTCGAAATTATGCTTTTGAGAAGCCTCTTGGGCAGGCTTTGGGAACCCTGCCTTTTCTGAAAGTTGTTTGCGATGCGGCAGGCTCTGTGCCGCCAGTTGGCCTGGCAGGTGATAACTTCACACACAGCTTTGGTATCCAGGCCAGTCTCCTTGAACGGCTTGTGCTGACCAGACGTCTGATGGGACCGTCGTGGTACCGACTTCATCCGGATTCATTCAAGGAGGAGCCTGCAAAGCTTTCGCATTGCGCCACCGAGTTTCGCATCACGCCGGCTTCGATTCAGGTGCCCAAGACGGCGACAGAGAAAGCACAGTGGAACTCACACATGCCATCATCAAGCCCTCCCTTGCGAGTCCTGAGTGTGAGCCTGCAGACGTTCCAGCAAACGGCCCAACTGTCGCATGAAGTCCTTGCAATCGGTTGCAGCTTGCATCCAACCGTAAGTGCTGATGCCTCTGCAAGTGAGTCCGACCTTCAGAATTCGCGACGAACTTGGGCAGCGATTCGGAGATTGGATGCCAATCCATTTCCACGAGATGCTGAGAAGGTCCGCCGTTGAAAAGTTAGCAGCCTCCGTCACTTTCGAACAACAGTAACAGGGATAGAGTCGCAGTAGAAGGGGCTTATTGATTTGGCCTCATTCTGATGGCGAGTCTGTCACAGGCACTCGCTGCTGGTGGCTTCCATAGCTATAACAACGAGCTAGCGCTGCTCAATGCCTTCTTGTTGAAGGCTCGTTGCATCAGAAGGGGAAGACGTCAATCCATGCAGCGTAGTAACTTGCAAGCATTTTCCAAGAGGCTTAACTTGAAGTGGGTGCTCACGGTTCATTGCGAGTCTGTCAACTGTGGCGGCAGGTGCAGGAGTTTGATCCGGACGTGATTGCAGGCCTCATGCTGCACCAAGTGCCTCCAACTGCGAAGTGAAAGAGTTTTGATGCAGGCCACAACATCTTCTCCGTCGATTTGGACGTCTTGAGCTCGCGGCTACACCAGTGCGGGCACTTGGTGTGGACACTTTCGTCGGGCAGATGTTCGTCCCGATCATCGTGACAAGATTTGCCGTGGAACAAAGGCTCAAAGTGCAGAATTGGCACAGGCTTGGGCGCTTGCGTCGTTCGAAGGACGCCTCTGTGCTTGGTCCACAGGATGCCACGAGTCACTAATTGGCTCTTCCTTTGAGGACCGTGTGCCGCGAAATGAGGGTCGGCAAGCTCAAGGATTTTGGGCAGCGTTCCCGGCTTCAACTGTGCAGCTGTAGAACTGACAGATTTGCGAGAATGTAGAGCTGGGTGCTTCACAGGCAGGCACGAATTTGGCGGCTGGCAGATTGGACATTGTCTCAGCTACCTTTGCAAGCTGCAGTGAGATTTGGAGTCTGCAGCCTCCTCCGGAAAGTTGCAGATGTTCTTAGCACAAACTCGGCGGAGTCCCAGCCATTCGTCGTGAAAGGTGTGCGACACTGCTCTGCAAGCGAAGGATTTGCTTCCGAAGCTCGGATGCCTCAGACTCGGCGTCTTCCCTCATCCTGTGAAGTTGAGGTTAGTCGTCGATGGGCCTGCAGTCGCACAGCAGTACGAGCCATTCCTAGATGCATGCCTGACAGGCTCTGCAGGTTCCTTTGCTTCGCATGCTCTGTTTGCAGGGGCTGTCGCAACAGTTCGACGTTCTTTTCATTTGATGCTGCTTGTATCCTTGGAGCCTGTGATAGTGCATGCCAAACTCCCATGTTGTCTTTTGTTGTTAAGGGTGCTGGAAGTTCGAGATGTCGGATTGCGGTTGAGGCTATGACCTCGCCAACCTGGCGAAAGAGCAGTTGGGATGTGCAGATGTGAAGATTGTACGCCACTCGTAGAGGTTTGCAGATGCGTCAGGATCTGTTTAAATTTGACGCTCAGGTCGAGCCTGAAGCGATTGCCGAGTATTACGATTCTGCGAGGTGCACAGCTGGGTTTCGATGCGGATCAAGGGCGTCCGGAAAGTGTTTCTGCGATAAGAACAGTCATGCTGAGACCTGGCTGCTCATTCCGAGACTGCAGATTCTTGGACAGGACTTTGCTGAACCTGCTCCAACTCAAGACAGTCGATGCCTACTGCATAGCTCGGATCGCACATTCCTTGCAGATCCTGTGCCTACCCCATATGCTGAATGCTTCCTTTGGCGCTGTTATGCTCTGTGTGGTGGAGTTGTCATGCCTTAATGGAGTGCACATTGTGGGAGGAACTTGGCTCAGCTAGGGGGGGGGCCGGGCAGGCTGTAGAAGCCATGCTATGTCAGAGATGATCGTGAGTGCAAATGGCTCACCGGACGAACTTGCCTCAGTCACCTCTCGGAGTTGGCAGCCAATGGCAGTGGCAGTGGCAGTGAACTTAGCGGTAGTGGTGAACTTAGTGATAGTGGAGTGGTAGGGGGGCATTGGTAGTGGTAGTGGTGGCCGGGGTGGTAGTGGTGGTGGTGGTGATGGTGGTGGTGGTGGTAGTCAGGTAGTCGAAGTCATAGTCACTCGAAACGCAGTCGCAGTGGCAGTAGCAGTCGTAGTCGCAGTCATAGTCGCAGTGGTAGCCCTAGTGCACTAGTGGTGGTAGTAGTAGTGGTAGTCGTCGTTGCAGTTGTAGCCAAAGCAGTAGAAGCAGTAGTAGCAGAAGTAGCAGTATCAGTAGATAGATTGGTAGGTTATTACTACTCTTATTACCATTATTACCATTATGAATATTAGCAGTAGTAGTAGATGGTAGCAGTAGTAGATAGTAGTAGGTGCTGGTGGTAGGAGAAGCTTCAGTAATAGTAGAAAGCAGTACATAGTCGCATAGTAGTAGTAGTTGTAGTAGTAGTAGTAGTAGTAGCAGCAGCAGTAGTAGTAGTAGTAGTAGTAGTCGTAGTAGCAGTAGTAGTAGTAGTAGTAGTAGTAGTAGTAGTAGTAGTAGTAGTAGGAGTAGGAGTAGGAGTAGGAGTAGCAGTAGCAGTAGCAGTAACAGTAGCAGTAGTAGTAGAAGAAGTAGATGGTAGTAGTTACCAGTAGGTAGTAGTAGTTTTAGTACAAAGTAGTATATGGTACTTACCAGATACACCTTGTCAAAATCATCTTGTTCCTGATTACTGCATCTGAATGTTAGAGCGTAGCACGAAAGAACGCCGAAGAACAGTCCTTGCAGACGACCACCTTCGCATCACGAAGATTATCCGCTGCTTTCCACGCAGATTGCGCTTGCTTGTTCAAGAGAAGCCCAACGGCCTACATTGCGCGGTCTGCCTACGTATCTGTGCCTGAGAAATTGGACATCCAACTATCATTCACCCGAAAAGTACTTTCATCTTTCCATCGTTCGGAACCTCAAGCAAACTGACAGGGTGAGTTGAAAGCTTCTGGCACATATGGATTACCCATCTTCGTAGGGTCCTTTCCCATGATTGTCTTCTGCCGTGGTTCTGAGGCATGTAGAGCATTCCACCTTCCCCAGCTCAGCTTTGCATTTAACCCCCTGCGCCACCTGCACCCCGGCAAGCTCCGCTCCTGTCCGAGCGTCACTGTTGGGCAGCATTGGCTTCATTTGTTTGCCGTTTTGCGGGCTTTCTCAGGACCTCAACCCTCCTGCCGTCGGAGTTCCCCGTGTCTTAGACGCAGCAACAATGTCGATTTTTTGTCGCACGTGCAGCGCAGTTGATAGGGAGAAAGCATTCGTTGGCTTGTCCCCCTCGTCTAAGGACATCATCCAGTTCTCAAGTGCTGTGTACTACTGCAACGAAGCAGAAGGAAAAGTTGAGGTCGAGGCGCTACTCGTGTACGCATGTGTTCTTCTCCTTTTTGTCGGCACTGATCTTATTCTGGATTGCTGGATACACGATGAGCCTTATACGATAAGCGGTTCACACTTTGCCGGGCTTTCCTCAAGAGGTGTCGTGTCTGATCTTGAAATAGCCTGAAGTGTTGAGATAGTTGCTGCCAGATCCTGGCTTTGTTTGCAGGTGATCGAAGGGAGGTTTGAAGTGGTAGCTTCCACCGACCAGGTCTCCAGACTTGGTGAGGATGACAACCAATGCCATGCTTCTTGCTTCAAAGAGTCTCCTAGGTGAGTACACGTGTGTCCCATGCCTTGCAGTGATACGTAGTCAGGTCGACTATGAGACTTTCGACATCTCTGCAGTCTCCGGTGTCAAGTATGTGGGTCGCAAGGGCACCATCGCTTTTGAGCCAGGCGGATACTTTTGCATTGTTCGGCATCCCGACGACTGATTTTGCGAGACGTCCCGTAGAATGTGTTGCCTTCTCCAGAGTTCGTATTTCCTGTTCTTGGCTGCTTAACTTTGGGGACGTGTGCGGTTATGCGGTATGCATTTCCTAGGCTGGCTCGATTCGTGATTCCAGGGACTCACAGCTGTCGTCCGACTCCACCATTTTGACCATCTGTCTGCTGTGGACTTCTTCTGCGTCGGAATTTGGAAGAGTTTGTTCTTTGCTAGAACACCAGCCGAGAGACACCGCTCGTTGTCACTGCCTTCCTCAGGTGTTTAGGTGTACAGCCTGTTAGAGGCCCAAATGGATTTTGTGAAGACCGACGGAATGCGGTAAGAGGCAGAAACGGGGAGCTCAAGCCCAGCAGCCGAAGAAGACCAATCAGACTAAGAAGAAGAAGCTCACGAGGCTGAGCGAAACTAACAATGATATGAATAAGACAGGTACCGCAGTCGCAGTGATTACGAACTGCGACCGCTGGACCCTGCCACCAGAACTCCTACTGCAACAGCTACAACAAGACCGCTGATGCTACGACGACGACGACGGCTGCTCACCTCTGCCTACATTTCTACTGTACCTCTACCTCAAAGCCGCTAGTGTTGCTTGCAGTGATAATGTTTGAGCGACTTGGATGCGTCCAGCCCAGTTAAATTTTGAGAGCCCCTGGACAAGATGGTGTTGGTGGAGGCTGTCGAAGATGTGCGCTTTTCAATCATGACCACAAGTACCCTGGCCATCCCTGGCCAGCACATATTATTTGCTGCTGTAGATGCATCTGCTTCCCATCCGTCGGCCTTGATTGAAAACCCAGAGAGAAATTCGCCAAAACAACCGGGGCCACAACGGACGACAGGCTACAACGAGCACGACACAATTTCAATCAAGTTCACAGAGGAAGCGCTACACCCTGCCTGGGGGCATCCGTGGAAGACTGATCCTTACCACCTGTTCAGGGCAAATGTCGGTTGTCATTGAGATCAAGCTGGTGGAGAACGATGCCTTCGAGGCGAATCCAAGCGAGGCAGAGATGTTTGCGGTGTTGACCATTCGGTGCAGGCCACACTGGAGTTTGGCGTCCGACTGCTCAGGCAGCACAGATGTGTTCGCAGTTTTGCAATTGCCAGACGAGCTTGCTTTGGATGTCCGGAGACGTTCAGGCCTCGCAATGCTGTTCTCGGCCACTACCTTCACACCTGCAGAGTGACTGTGGCGGATGATGACACTTTCCCGACGAACAGGATCCGAAGAGACTTTGCGAAGCCAGCTTCTGTAGCCACAATGTGTAGTCCACTCCAAATGGAGGAACGCTGACAAGCTGCGCGAGGATAGAGCAGCAGAAATCCAACCAGTGGCTCCTCACCTCAATATGTCAATATGCACCTCCTTGCCTGTTGATCAGCCCGGTTGGATTGCAACACTGAATCGCTTCTGCGTGGTCGATATGCATAGGGAAGCGCTTTAGCGAGGATGTTGCAAGGGATAGACATTCTTGGACTGTCGCGCTAACCGTGTCTCCGACTGCTTGTTCTACGGCCGAGGTGCTGTGGTCGGAATATCTCAAGATGAGCCTCAAGGTGCTCAACGAGTTTGGTGTTTGCATCGGCTTTTCATGCGCAGTCAACTCATGTCTTGCGTAAGACCAGACGCAGCTTATCACAGCTTCTAGCATGCCAGGACCGAAAGGTTAAACTGGCGGCAACCTATAACCTTCTCACGGATCAGGCTTGGTGGATCAAAATGGACAGATCAAGCCTGGAGCAGACTCTTGACACGACCGTTCTTCATGAGATGCAGGCAGCTCAAATCTGACAGGTACGGAACTTGGCCTACCTCTGGCAAGTAATGCTGCTTGCGCGCACAGATGAGCGACCAGCAGCTGCATTGCGAGTGCTAATGTGGCCGGAGCTGGTCGAGTGAAGCCGAAGATTCTGCTCGGGCATCGTTTTGAGCTGCTTCGCAGATGCCGAAAGGCCTCCACGGGCCCTCTTACTCCAAGTAATCATGCTTCGTAGTAAACAAACACGTCGCAATAGCCAAAATGTTGTCGGCTCCGAAGACAAGAGGCTACCGCATCCCTTTCGAGAGTGACTAGAATTTCTAATTCCAGGATAGGGCGATGCTCGCATCTTTTCCCAGGCTGACCAAGTATTTGATCGACCAAGTCCTGGCAGACGAGCCTCAGCCTTTCTTCACGGACCCGATCATGCCCCAAGGCAGGGAGGAGCGGGCCGCTCGGCCGCATAAGAGTGAAAGACCAAGGCATTCTGCCACACAGAGATAACAGTGGTGCTGAGGTGTGGCTTACGATTGCGTTTTCCTTCGTGCCACATGCAGTGGCGCAGTTGCATCGGTTTGGAACTCTGGGTCGGCGACGAAATGGTTCAAAGTTGATACAGCGAGGTTATGCTGGTGCTGAACCGACTGAAGGCCGAGAGGCGTATCCAGGGCATGGCTACTTGGCTACCCCTAGCCGTAAGGCTATAAGTAGCAAGTTGTGCAAGTAGCGATGTTCTGAAGTTCCGCCGAGAAGTGATGGGCAGTCACGTAAGGTCGTCAATCAGCTACAAGGTGGAGTGCTACCTTTTCAGACCCATGCCTCTTTTGCTAAGCCAAGTGGGTTTTAGTGACAGTGAGCTACAACGTGCGGCCAGGCAATTTGCTGAGGACCGGATGCCAGCAGACTGCAACCGATTCACAAGCTTGTAGATAACTAAGGGCAGAGCAAGAGTGAACAAGGCCGGCGAGACATGCTAATCATGAGCGACAGCCGAAGTGCCGCCTGGACATTCAATGTCCCGTGTGCATACCCGATGCACATCTCTAATCTGGAAGCAAAAGACAAGCCGGCGCAAATCGACCCTTTGCACCAGAAACTCTCACAGAAAATGTAGTTACGATACGGTTCGAGGTTGGGATTGCTGCTTTGGCTTCAGATTGCAGCATATTGTTAAGCCGACAGCACTGCTGGGTACTTAGGGTCACTGCCAGATTGCAGGAAGTTCTTGAATTACAACGAAGACTCGCGCGATTCTGTGCGCTGTTCTGAGTTGCCACATCAACCTTTGTGTGCCGTTTTGATAGAAGACGAGAATGGCGAGAATTGCCGACTTGCCTGAGGTCGACGTCGGACTTGGCAATGGCCATAACCCGTGACGTTCCTGAGTTGGTGGAGCACGGCTTTATGGGTGCCACTTGCCCAGATCGTATTCAACATCCGTTCTTGTTGATTTTGTCAAGAAGGCTAGCAGCAATAGGCTTGAGAAGTGAGCCTGCGAGTCGAGGGGGTTGTGGGGCTGGGGCTACATTGATAGAGCATTTTAAAGTATTCTTCGGGGGTCGGGGCAGCAGCGGCCAGGGGTCTTTTGGCCTTTGAATAGCTGGAAATGATTTGCTGGGTTGCGATCCGAAGAACCGCTCGGCACTGTGCACGGGGGAGCTCAGGGGTTCGCTTGCAAAAGTTGCGGAAGTTCTGCGGAAGCTCAGCAAAAGCTGCACAGACACTCGCGGGCAGGCACTTCTTTAGAACCATAGATCGTCACAGTTCGTCACATCAAGTCAAACCACTTGGGTTCTGCAGAAAGTTTTGCTCCAGACCCGATCCTTCGAGATTGAGACGCGATCATGTAGCGGCTGCATCGTTTGAAGGATCTGCAGTGCATTTCCTGAGCACAGCATTTCTCTTTCAGAAGCTGGCAGCTCTGCAGAGGGAACCTCAAAGCATAAGGGGACAGTAAGGATCATCAGCGAGGCACTGGTAGCAAGGAAAGTACGTAAAGCTGTGTCCATTGCAGACTGAGAAGACTCCAATCCCGGGTGGAGATGTCTTGAAGGCTTTCGCAACGAATAGAGGGTTCGAGGCCGTAGAAAATGTGCAAAAGCTGGGTACGGAAGCGTCTGCGGAGGGCAGCGCATGGCAGCGCGGTAGCGAAAGGATTGGCACGCTCGCGGAAGCACGGAAGTACGAAGTGGAAGAAACCAAAACATGGCCCAGCTGTCGTCGGCCTCGTCCTGTTTGGCATATCCAGCAGCTGGAAGCAGCATGGGGGCATAGGGGAGCTTTACTCAGATTTTTGAGCTTGTCGAGAACCTCGGCTTGGTCATCGTGCTCGGTATCCTCATGCTGGCGTACCTGGACAGCACAAGTGACACCAGAAATTTATGCCGCTCTTCTGATGGAATCGAGTCTGTGGAAGGCAGAGTCAGTTGTCGCCGCTGACCCCCATATGTTTCTTCCTCATTCCGCTGGCGATGCTGAGCCTGGGCCAAAAGTATTTCCTTGTGAATTTAAGCCCTATACCATGGCAACTGCACAGGCCAACCGAACGGAGCTCTCAGCACTGTCACGTGTTTATGGGCAGCGTGCGCGTGCTGCAAGGATATTCATTTATATTCGCCATCCGGAAACTGAGCGTTCAGTGCTTACATTCAGGAGTTTCCAGAAACTTCCTTTCCGTGCCTTTGTACCGTTGTGATCTCTGTTGTTCATCTGTCCTGACAAGGCCGAGACCGCTTGGTTTTTCAGCGACAAACCGAGATGTTAATCTTGGTGCACCAAGTGACAGAAGCTCGATAGCACACTGAAAAGTCTTCTCCTCCAGCTTCTGCAACCATCACATGCGTGTGTGTCAGCTGATTCTCAACATGAAAATACAGCCTATCGTTTTGTCGAAGAGTGCCAAAGGACAACACCCGATTGATTACTGACTACTTTCAGCGCCCGACGATGGTGGTCAGTTGCTTGTCTGGGAATGGTGACGAGTGGACCATGCCACCTGACGCTCCTCCAAGTGCCGGTTGCGCAGGCTTTAACGGACGAGTGGCAGAATGTAACAAAGCAACCACTCTTGCGACAATGTTCAGGCCAGGAGCCATGCTTTCTCAATGTTCGCAGAGTCTGATGCATGTGCTGTGTAAATTTGTCGCCTTTCCAAGCTACATTGGCCATGAAGAGAGCGCAGTTGTGGATCAGCGTCACATCGTCACGGAGGGACCGCAAAGGTCACAGTTTGTAGATGCTGTAGCGAAGAGTAGGAAAAGCTGCAGAGACAGAGAACTCCTCGCCAGGGTTACAAACTCGGAGTTCGCGCCTTTTATGACGACCGTCGTCATAGCTCTCTATGTTGCTTGGTTAGCAAGTTCGGCTCCAAAGGCGAGGTCCCTAGATTTTAGAACAGCACTGCAGGTCATTTTCCATTATGCGTCTGTGGTGGAGAAGACAATCACCATCGGTGACTCGATCTTACCCGCCAAAGCACGCACATGCATGCCTCGCGTTGGCTCCATGCCCACTCTCCTATTTAGATTTGACGAAGCCCATGCAGAATTGGAGAAGTATCTATTTGACGAGGTGAGTTCCTGACGTCCATAGCTGTATGGCGAAGCATTGGCTCAGCTTACCAGAATGCCTACAAGGCCGCCGCCACATGTCTTCCGCTTTTTGGACATGCTTACTTTGCATCAAACCAGGACATGCTGCAGATCCAACAGGCCTTCGCCCATAACTTTCTGCTGCGCAGCTCACACCTTCTTGAGCGAGAACCTTGTTTGTGAAAATGTCGATGTTCTCAAGGCAGCAGCTCCGCTTCTGAATGTCATACACTATATGCCGCCTGCATGCATCCAACGGAATCCGAAGAAAGAGCACGCGTCTGCTGGATTGCGATGTAGCTTTTCCGAGGAACCTGCCTGTTGACACGACGGACAGGATGTTGATCACAAGGGAAATGCAAGAGTGTGGCAAGACAGCCCAGATGAAGGCGACAGTTTGGCATGAGCTTTTGCCCAATGCACTTGTGCCGCGATCTTTGCGTTGAATGGTGTGCAACTTCTCGAGGAGCAAGCTCTCCGCTCATGCTTTTGAAGTTTGAATGTGCATCAGTCTTTCCAGGCGCACCATCAACTTTTCGGCAACTTGCTACGCAAAGCCGCGCGAAGCTGGCGCGTTCGTGTCATGCATCCGTTTCGCTCAAGCAGCCCCGCTTCATGTCATGTGTCTGTTCATCAGCATTTCCGTTCTTTCGAGGTAAGCTTCCGGCAAACTCACCGTTCGTGGAAGAAAGTAGCTGCGTCACTTTCAATGGAGAGAAGGCCGAGCTATTGTCGATAATCTCTCCATCTTGCTTCCTACTGACCTGTTCAGTTGACGGCCAAGTACCCGCAGGATCTGGTTCAGCATCTTGTCATGGACTATATTCTGCATCAGCTTGTGGTTCTTTCATTGAGCTAAGGATCTATGCAGACAACATCAACTTTGCCTACCCTGCACGGACCGGAGGAGACACGAGACCCAACAGCTCAAGAGACTATTCGAGATCACCGGCCCACGGGCACTTGAACTTGCAGGAGGCATAGACCTGCTGCGGAATGCCACCTTCAAAATTCCACAAGGCATGATTCGACGCTCCATCTGGCATCGCTGAAAGTTCAACTAGTGCTCCTCTGTGCAAAAGTTTCGAGGTGCTGAGCCAGTTGCTGACACGCAAACTTACTTCAGGATACATCGGCAGTCGCAGAAGGGTTTCTTTTCAGCATGTTTCTTGGCGAAGCCTGGCCATCGGAGTCGTGGCCACGGATGTGAGGAAGCAGTGGGCAAAAACACCGCATTATTTGCCGGATATTGGGGAATTCGTTCTGCAGCTGCGTGCAGAAAACTGTTTGAGATCGAACAGTTTAGAGGGTAGCATCCGCAGGATTGTTGCAGTGTCTTTCACATGGTGTGCCAGGCCAGCTAGTGGCTGTGGCTGGTCCGAAAGGATGCGGCAAGAAGACTCTTCTGGACAGTGCAGCATTGCTCCCATATGGCAGCTATGCTTCCAGATTCTAGACCCGTGGCTGTGCCACTTTGCCGGAGGTAAGGCTCGCAGCTAGTGCTGGCACGGTTGCCTTCAGGAGCTCATTGCCGGCATTCTGCTACCTACTGGACTCTCATTTGCAAACAGCTTCCACTTCCTGTTGAGCTGCTTGGAGATGCTTTAGACAGGCCACACCAAGCTCTTCGTACCTCCGCACTTGCGGGTTCTGCATGTGTCCAAAGATCCGCAGCACAGCTGCAAACGAACAGCAGGCAATGTTGTCGGTGTCGGGCGAAATGCAAAACATGTCAGCAAGTTGAGGCAGCTGTTGCCAGAGATCACGCTTTTTGAGAATCTCACCTTCGGCCCCTCAGATGGCTAGAACCTCAAGAAGAGTTTCTTCACCGTTTGCTACTGGTGCTTGTATTGACTTCTTAGAGCCCTAGTGGTGCAGGTCAAGATGAAGAGGAGGAAAGGGCCGTGTCCTCAAGTCTGGCGAATTATCCAGTACTGGCTATACCTTTCGAGGCAATTCTTTCTGTTACAGACTGTGCAGCTCCAGCCATCAAAGCATTTTGACAGACGGCGTTGGCCGCCTTGCTCTTCGTGAATTCTGTTTGCCGTGTCGAAGCTTGGCACGTCGTCACGTGGCTCCACGTTCGGAGTTGTTTCTGTCGAGGGTGTCCTCGCTGGGACAGCTCCGATGGGAGCATCCAAAGTCTGCGTTGCTCCCTCTTCTCCAGGCTGATTCTGGCTTTAAACCGCTCCTAACGACAAGCTTGGTTTGTGCGATGCTCTATTTCATGACGCCATTGAAGTGCCACCCTCGAAGGACCTGGAAGTGAGAAACTGAAAATACACCGATGGTGAACCTGGGCGTGCACACGCACTGAGCCTTTTGCACGTCTCAGGTCTTGGCAATTTGCAGGCGGTTGGGCCTCAGCGCAGATGCTGTCAAGCTGGTTGAAGCCTCGATACAAAGACAGGCACGGCAGGAACGTTGTGCTGAGTTTCAGTCCTTGGGCTTTAGTGAGTTACAGCAGTTTCCGTGGAGCCTATCACCCGGCTATGTTGAAGACTTTGCGGTTCAGCTTTCAACTTTCGCAGTACGGCACGCAACCACAAATGCCTGTACTAACCGTGCTGATTGCCGGAGATGTGCCAGGGAGATGTGAAGACATGGGCTCAGCTTGCAGGGCTGCAAAGTTGCTGGACTCGTGAGCCACCGGCCCCCGGCCTTGTGCACCGTTCTAAGGAAGTCCAGGGCGGCCGACAAGTTGCGCGTGGTTGAACGCCCGGCAAAGTCGGGTTCTGCGCAGTCGTCGGCACTACGAGAGCTGCAGGATGTACGGCCCAATGCTGCGTCCTAAACTCCCAGATCCTCTTTCATCGCATGCGCGAGAGGAGAAAAACCAAGCCCCTGAAAACAGCCTGCCTTTCACGGAGAAGTGGCGGACCCGGTTCATGCCATTTGACAGGATCCCATGCAGCATCAACCTGTGTGACACTTTCCCGACGTTTCAGGTGCCTTCTGCACTTAGCAAGAGCTTTAGCAACTTGGATCAGGAAGAGCTAGGTAGTCTTTTGCTCTCATATGGCAGCGTTTATGCTCTCAGGTCATGAACCCAGAAGTCCTCATATTGCACAAGCCACTGGAGCATTTCGACTATGTGTTCGCCCGCCGCGTTGTGGAGCCTATAGAGTCCATAGAGAGTTGCAGTGTGTTAATATGGTTCATGTTAAGCTTTGTTCCCGTGAGGAGATACTTCGTGAATTCGTGGACTTGCGGGGTTTGGAGAAGCCGCGGCTAAGCCTTATTTCAGCCAATTTCTCCACAGCCAGCTCTTCTGCAGCCGTGTCCAAGGAGAGAAACGCTGCACCTTCGGAGTCCCAGGAGCACCGAGTCGGGGATCTACAGGAGCAAGTTTCATTTGCAGCGGTCAGAGGACGTGCATCTTTTCTGTCGGTCACTTGGACAACTTGGAAGATGTGGACACCCTTCTCCAGGCCAAAGTGCTCAAGGCTTGAGGCCACGCTCAGGATCTTCAAACGTTTCTGGCAGGTAACCAACAAGCAGGTTGAGGCAGTTGATCTTGCCTCTTGGGCTTGGCCTTTTTGCCGGGAGCCTTTTGTCAAAGAAGTGCTATGACCTGAACTGAGGATTCTCTTTGTCGATTGAAGCAGGAAGCGGCTTGGTGTAGTTTGATATAGTTCGATCCAACGACTTAGCATTAATCGTTCCCCTTGTCTGGAGTCTGTGTAGCTCTGGTAGCTCTTTCGTTGCTCCGCACGGGGTGAGCTCAGGTTGGACAACTCTTTCACGTCTTGGACAAAAATGTTGCCTGACAGCACAGCTTTGGTGCACAAGACTTGCACAGTGCAGAGCTGCAGGTTGACAACCTCTTGGATCGTGAAGAGTTCATGGGAATGGCCGAGGCAGGGAAGCGCTGGGAAGCGTTCCAGTGCGTTCTACGTTTGTTCTCGTTTGGCTTTCCTAATTCACTCCGCTCCAGGAAGCACCGGCCTCAGTGGAGTTATTCGGCATCAAGGAGGCCGGACAGTCACAATGCGAATGGTATTTCAGCTGCACGCCCACTTTGTACAGGGCACCGCAAGCAGCAGCGCAAAACATGAGCTCAACACGATCTTCGACAAAGTCGATGAGACTCTGCATGCGAACCAGTTTTGGGTATGTCTGCGGTTCCAAAAACACAGACGTTTGACAACCGCCAGCCTAGCATAGCATATCAGACTGAGGACAGTCAAGGTGGAAAGATCGATCAGGAAGAATTCGTCGCCTCTCGGTGCTGTACTTGCAAGGGGCCATGGCATCTTCTAAGCGCTTCTGGCCAAGGCTTTCATTCGGCTGCAGTTCGATGACCAATTGGCGGCCTCTCGTCTGCACAGCGGAACGCAGTGTGGCGCCCATTGGCTGCATGGCAGTGTTCGGAATTCAGGAGGCGGTGAAGGCTATGAAGAATCCCGTGGGCGCAAGTCAAAAAATCACAGAGATTCAAGCCCAGAAGGCAGGCGACGTAGACCTCTCCAGGGAAGAGCTGGCGAATCTGTGTCGAAGGCGAAGCGTAAACAGCTGGAGTTCGCCAACTCACCCGGATACAAGCACCTGGATGCGTAACTTGGACGCTTTAGCCGTCTAGCCCTCGCGGAGCTTTGTGCAGGCTGTGCTCTCATGCCTATGTCGGAGAGGTGGGATTCGCCTGAGATCCCTGCCCACACGGCCATTCTCGGCATCGTGGCTGCAGCCTGCGCCAACCATACATGTGCAGGTAGTGTTCATGGTTGCTGAGGCTTCCCTGTGACTTCCAAGAAGTTGCCAATCACGTTCTGAACAGAGGATGGCCTTTTCCCTTCAAAATCAGGCAACAATGCAGTGTAGGGGCACATCGTGGCCTCCTGCAGCTGTGGTCAGCGGCTTCGCTTCCTCACCAGAAAAATAGTAGCTCTGAACACGCGGCTGCCACCTGCTGCTCGTTTATGCTCAACGGTCTGTGGGATCATGGAGCATTGTTAGTCTCGATGTGTGCAGGGCAGATAAAACCTTTACAGGTTGTGGTTCGCGGGTGCGGAAGGCTATCCATGTTCCTGCGAGTCTGGCATCCTGTCGTCGAAGACGACATGAAAGGAGGCAGCTGTCTGCTTTTCCCATAGAACACACGGCTCAGTATTGTGCCGTGTGCACATGGCACATGGCGTAACGCGGCGTAACGGCCTAAAGCTCGACTTGATGTTAAAAAACTACACTTCTTGCTTCTCGAAGGTATGGCTTGTTTTTGTGGAAGCCTCTCGGCAGTTCGCCCGCAAAGGCCCCTAACTCGGCAGCTGACAAGCTTGGCCGGCAATTTGTGGAATGGTTCGCACTGGACTTAGCCTTTGCTTCCGCACCGTCTGCATTGTCGCTTCTGACCGAAAGTACATGGTAACACTGAGACGCGCGCGCACACAGAGACACAATACGTGTATGTCATGTCACGTCACGTCATGCCATATCATGTACGTACTGTTCTGGGTACATATGTGTACTACTCAACGTGTTGTGTTGTTGGGTTTGGTGATGGCCACGGGAGTTCTGGGTGGCCTCCGACCAAAGCTTAACAGCCACACCGTGCCCTTTCAAAGTGATTAATAATGCAATATTGGATAGTTCTGAAACCGTGCAAGTCTGACAGAGTCCTTGCAAGCCTTTCCGTGTTTGGGCTTTGCAACGATAATGCAGGCGACTTAACCCCAAGGTAAGTTGGTCGGCAGATCTTCATGTGAAGCGATTGCCTTCTTCTCTTGATCTGGCTTGTTCTTTCGCTCATTGTTCATGCTGATGCTGATTCTGAAGTCTTTCAGGACTCCCCAGCTTCTTTGCCAAAGTCTTGTCGAGCTGTGCAGTACGTTGCGACATGCTTTCACATCGCACTATGTGTGCTGGCGTTGTGGCGGTTCTGCTTGCAGTGCTGGAACATGCGCGCTGCCCTCGACTGTCGTGCAAGCGGCAAGATGGGATCGAGGAGGCAGGCCTTTGCACGGGAGTGGAGTGCCGGACATTGCAGATACGAAATATATCTGCTTTTGCGTGCTTCGAACTTCGGCTGAAAATGTTCTGGTAGCCAGTTCGAACCTTCTTTGACATTCCTGGACAGCCTTTCCGCTGGCTCTGTGGCATGCTCCACTCTCCGCTGTGACTTGTTGCGCTCAAATCCGGCACATTCCGGCACAGCCGAGCCACGCTTTCGTCAGCTGTTAGTGGGTTCGGCCGTTCTCAAGTGTTGCGCTCCTGTGTGTTCCGATGCGCACAGCTTGTATTGTATGGAATCACATGAAGCCTGATCATTGCGAACTCGCAAACAGCACGGTCAGAGCGCCACGCCCTTGCACATTGCACCGCTTGGGGGGAGTGGGCTCCTCTGGACAGATCGCGGGGGCCGTCAAGTATTCCGGATAGTGGCAGTGAGAGGACACGCTAATTGTTTCTACAAGGCACTTCGCGAAGACGTCAGTCAGAGCACACCTCAATTCGACCACCAGGTTCTGGAGCAATGGGGGCATCGTCGGCAAACGCTGCCCGTGTCCCTGTGCCGGAGTAGTCCAACCCCTCATGCCCAAGCCCGTGTACGGGCCTGGCTGGCACGTATGCTGTGATTCGAGCGACTATGTTCCGCGTGTTTTAAGATGCATGCATCATAATGTGTGCACATCATCATGTGTGCATCGATGTCTGGTTCGAAAACTACGAAGGTGTTCGTTCCTGCATGCTTAGGCTTCAGAACAAGCGAGCCGAGCGCAACGAGCTCTTGTTGTGTCATGAGCGTGGACCTAATCATCTCATCAGTGACTTTCACACCTGGCCATGGAGCTGTCGATGTTGCAGTAAGGTTCCACAGCAAGAAATTCGTTTTGTGCGGATCCGAGCTGTGGCAGCAAAGTTCAATCTCGCTTGCCGCATGCCTGCGCTCGTCTTGCACTCACCAACTAATCGCGAAGCGAGGCCAGACAAAGAAAGCCTTTCGCAAAAGAAGCGGCGTCTCCAAATCGAAGGCTTCATATTCCGCGAGAGCAAGCTGCAGCAAGATGCTGCGTGGGCATTGTCATGATACAGATGTTCTCTGCAGGTGGACAAGGCATCTCGGCAGGCTTCGATGAAGCCGACGAACCTGAAGCACAGGTCGGGGATCGTGGCAGCGGCATGCTGAGTCGACACCCGCTGACTACATCTAAACACAGGCAACTGGTTCCCGAAAGGGCAAGGTGGCCTACAGTGGAGGCCTCGTCCTGGAGCCGCAGGCACCCGAGATTGCAACTTGCAGAAGACTAGCAGATCGCGCGCCCACAGCCCGGATGCAGCATAATGTCGGGCTTTCGCTGGCTCAAGCTATGCTTGAATGCACGAGTATCTGTGCACACGAACACATGATCTTGCTATCTTGAAATAAGGTGATTCTTATCTGTTGTAGCAACATGCTTTGGGGTAGTATCGATGGCAGAGAAGTCCAGCTCGTCACACTGAAGACAGAGTGCCTGGAGGCGTCAGCTGTGTTATGCGACGCCCAATCGTCAAAGCAAAGGGTATCTTCGAAGCTAGAGTCCAGAGCAGTGCAGAAATACTTTCAAGGTGGACATTTGCAGTTTGGGCGCTGCTCTCGTGTCTGTGCGACTCAAGGCCGGTGGTTGGGGCAAGCAGGCGGCAGGCCAGAGTTGTTGCGTGAATTGGCTCCAGGTGAAGGGAGAGTGGCTGGACGTGGTGCTTGGCCTGCCTCCTAGGAGGTTATTTTGACGATGGCCTTTTGGTGGTTTTGCGCTTGCTGGTTTGATGAGGCTACGAATCGTTGGAAAGAAGCGTGTCTGCAATCTGTGGCGCACCCACACGCATGCCCTGGAACAGCACAAAGACGGTGTTGCCGTGTTTATTTGAGAAGTGGTGACCTGTTGTAAACAAGTTTACTAAGTTTACCAAGAAGAGGACAGTTGCTGCTGTAGCAGGCCTTGAAGCAGCATAGAATTGCCGGTTGGCTGTAGATCGCTGCGCAGCTGTTCCCAAGGGTACGTGAACGGGGGCAAGCCGAATTTTGGCACCGTGGTGGGCCGCTGTGCGAAGCTCAGTCGAAAGTCAGCGTCAGGGCTGGAATTAGCAAATAGAAGCAGTGTAGAGGGTAACATGGCGGGGCGAGGCGGCTCTTTCAGTTCTTCTTGTCAGACTCGCCTTTTTCTGCTTGGAAACGGCACTGCACACCCGGTTTTGAATGAACCGTGCATTGCTGCATCTGCTGTTCGGCGTGATGTGGGCATGTCTTCAATCATCATGCATGAACGCCGGGGAGCTCAGGCATCTGTGATTCTGAACGCTGCCCCCAGTTTTGCAGCACTGTAGCTGTGACCCTCCTCCCCCGGCCCAAACCTCGGAAATCTGTGCAAATGCAGATATATGCGCGCGCATGGAGTGGATTACAAGTTCTTCAACTGGCGGAAATTCTGAGTGCAGAGACTTCTTCAGACGTCTGAGTAAAAAGCGGTTTGTGGTTTGGTGACGAACTTCTGCTTGTTCTGAGTCTGCCTTTTGTTTTCATGTCATACGCTCCAGTCACAAAGCCAAAGTGCTGGGAAATGCTCAGAGGCTCGTGACGCATGTGCTCTCCGGACGAACCATCTGTTCACTGTGTCTTCAAGCTGCAAAACACGGATCCAGTGGGCACTAGTGCTGTGGGGACGCTGCTGCAGGTGCAAACCGCATTGCCAATGGTACCTTCGAGCTGGACGGGCAGCAGTTCAAGCTGGACACGAACAACGGTAGCCATCATCTGCATGGAGGTGTCGAGACCTGCAGTGCCTGGTGCCTCTTGTGACCACACCTGTCAACATCACTGCAGGAACCAAGGGTTTCTATGCCCAGGTCTTCGACGTGGCCAGTGCATCAGAGAAACAGGTCATGATTGTCGGACTAGCTGGGCACTCGAACGGTGCTTCTCGTCAGGTAACCCTGGTCCTGACAGAGCCGGACGGTTTCATGGGCTACCCTGGCAAGGCGAATCAACACAGTAGTATCATGTCCTCCTTGTGCCGCTTGAGCTGGAGGTCGAAGTGAGTGTCACGTACGAAGTGAGCTGCGGCCTCAGCCGCCCAGCCACCGCTGTGCTTGCCCTGGATAAACTTTCGCTCCGGATCTTAGCATTTGGGCGGAGGCGGCGGCGAGCTGCACTTCCGCTACAGTGGCCTTTCGGATAAGCCCACGCTCTTGAGCATGCAGCTTGGCAGATTGGGGAGCCGTTTACGCATCACAAGAGGTGTTACATCTCAGGACAAACCATGCTTATTGGAACCTCAAAGGCCACAAGGTACCAGCTTCAATTGCTGCACAATCGTTGGAGATCGACAAGTTTCGTGAAGTGCAAGCCGCATCAGGCTGGTAATGTGCTTGATCACATCCTGATGGTGCCAGCCTCGCGGACGACAGCAACTGATGACAGCCTTGCCATCACAGGCTACTGGAGGGACTCGTCGGTGGCAATAGGAGTTTGACCTGTGGTGTTTGGGAAGGCGAGCTGCCCGAGGTTGCTGGGACGTCTCTGGACTTGTACCTCGGATTGAGTGCTGCTGTTACATAGGCCTCGGCTGTGACTTGGGCCCCCGTCTGAGGCGAGAGCCGCGCTTGCTGCAGGAGGCCGGGGGCTGTGCTCGGACTGTCGCTCGGAGCCGTGCTCGTTCCAAACGACCAAGGCAGTGAATGCGGGCGGTCCAATTGATCGCAACTACTGCAGCAGCCTGAAACAGCCTTGCGGCCTTGCGTCCTTTGTGCTTCCACTGGCCTGCAGATGCGAGGCTTGGACCGCCCGGATGGTCAGAGGGAGATGATGGCTGCACGATTGGTGGGCCCAAACAAGGTCTGCTCTCCCGACGTTGGCCGTTAGACTTGCTTGCATCTGGAGTAATCCAGGTCACAATGGAGGTATGGACGGACCAGCCAGGTTTACAGGCCGGGTTTGTTCCCAATAAAGCCCTAGCAGGCTGTTGTGCAAGACAGGCTCTGCTAAGTTATTCTCAGGTCTTCACCGGTAGCAACATCGGCACGACAGGCCGGGGCATGTGCTGCATGGACAGAGCTCGATGAGTTTTTGCTTCATAGAAAAGTCAACAGCACGCTTGTTCAAGATGTTTGGCGATACACGCCGGATCAGTGGTTTGGTTGATGTTCAGGTCCCGGCACATGGTGGAATGGGAAGGTGCTGTGGCGGATGTTTGCCCGCCCCGGTCTCTTCCTCTTGCGTGCCACGCGACCAAGGGCAGTGAGTGGACGCAGTTCGGTGCAATCTGCCTGGAGCCGCAACTTTGGCCGGATGGAGTGCGCATCTCAGTTTGCGGACGAGTGCTTTCCGAGAATCCACCATGCAACCGTGCGAGCAACAGAGGTTCATCACAGCCACTTCCAAAGCCCGGTTCTGCGACCGGGAGAGACGTACAGCCATCATTCTTGGCATGTCTTTTCAGCTGGGGACTGAGATGGCTCTGATGCAGCTGGTATCTGATGCCTTTTTCTGCCGAGGTGGAGGAGTAGCTGATGTCTGTACAGAGGAATTCATAGTTTGTTCTCATTGTCGGTTCTCACGGCTCCAAAGAATTTTGTGCCAAAGCCACGGCTTTGCCCGTGTCGCTGTGCATCGGCTCCAAAGACCTCGTGGATTCGCCAGTATTTTGCTCTCCAAAAGGGGAAGTCTAAGTTGAGTTTTCCGAGTGCTGCTGTGCGTGAACGGCTTGAAGTGCCTCAAGACTTCGGAGAGGCTGGCTTGTACGACGATCTCGTCCTGCTTCTTGACTTCAACAGCTTGTACCCTTCCATCATCCAGGTCAGCGCATGAAGCAGCAGATGGAGATGCTAAAATTTCCTGAAGCGTCTGCGAGGAGTACAACATCTGCTTTACCACTGTGGATCGGCCTGACGAGAACGAGGTTGCGAAGATGACCAGCGAGGTCACCGTGCACAGCAGTTTTACTATCTCGATCTGGGTTGAATTAGGCAAGGTCTTCACTGCTTCCTGCTTCAGGCACAGCTACTGTCACAGACACGTGAACCAGATGGAACTGCGGAAGAAGGCATTTTGCCACAGGTGCGCCTGCTAGACTACTAGACAGCAAGGACTTGCAAGCTGCAAGACGTTGTGATGCTGAGGTGCTGCGACGTCTTGTCGACAGTCGTCGAGTCGTGAAAGCATCGATGAAGTCGGCCAGATGCTTTGCGGGACAAGCTTCGACTTCTGACTTCTGTTTGCTACGCTGCGCTCAGGAGAAGAATCCAAAGATTCTGCAGGTGCTAGAGATCCGTCAGAAGGCAGACATGGTTCAGCGATTTTGTCGATCTCGTGATATTTCGTGGATGCGGGCGACTACGACTGCACTTTGCATCTGCATATCGCAGGCCCTCAAGCTAACCGCAAACTCCATGCCGGGTGCTCACTACACTTCGGCATGGCTTGCCTAGCTTGCAGCACACGGCATGGCTGGCCTGAATGAGGTATGGCTGCTTGGGTTTTCAGAACAGTCGATTTCATGCACCAGCCTCGCACGACAACACCTGCTACCTCACTCATACTCTCGATTGCCATTTGCCCAGGCAAAGCCCCTGGCAGCGCTCATTACGGCCAAAGGCCGAGAAGCTTTGCAAAGCACGAAGACCGTCCTTGCCTGAGTTCATTCAGATCCGGTGACGAGAGCCTCGGATGATCAGAATTGTGGGAACAGGTCGTGCAGCAGGAATTGCAACTGGAGGTGGAAGGATCCTGAGGATGCAGAGTATTGCATGAAATCTTTGTCAGATGCCTGGGGGCCACCTTAGGTGTATGGTGACACAGACTCCGTCTTCGTCAACTCGAAGACAGCTGACTTCCATAAGGCCCCCCAATGTGTTTCCAAGTCGGGCTCTGCTGCCCTCGCTCATGCAGGCAATGCACGTTGCTGAGCAAATCAAGCGCGCGGTCAATAAAAGGCGAGATGCTAACTTTTGAAGTGCAGCACGCCAAGTTGCTGAGCAGCGATCAAGGTATCGGCGGTTGGAAATCGAGATCGATGCAGTCTTTGCCAGCATCGCAGTCAGTGTGTGAGTGTGTATCAGGAACCGTAGCAGGAATCGTGCTTGCAAAGGAACGTATTTTCAATTAGTGAAACCGGCTGGGGACAGTACTGGCGATCCAATACTTAATGAAAGGAGAGGTCATTCAAGATGTATGCACAGACTTCACAGCAGTTCACACCCTGCGGATGGGAGGCAATGATCCAGCCAGAAGCCCCCAGATGGACGATGGATGATGAACCTCCCGACAAGAGCATCTCAGACTCTGCAGCCCACGTGTTGTCGCCACGCAGAGGTGGGGTTGGGAACTGAAGGCCGCAGATCGAAAACTAAGGACGTCAAATTGCGAGCAGACATCACAAGAGCCCAACCCAGTCGAGGGCAGTCGAGGGGTTGGTTGACACAAGTTGACACAAAATCAGCCTTCTTCTTGTCACTCCAGTGCGATATGAAGTTGAAACGAATGTGGAGTTTACGAAGGTGCGTCTCATGCTTCTCAAGAAGAAGAAATATGCTGCTCTCAAGGTGACCCTCAGCGTAAGACAGATCATCGTGTCACCTTGAGTCGCGGCGAGTCGCGCAGGTTGTGAACTGGGAAAAGGAGCTCTTCGAGCAGGAGCTCAAAGGCGGGTTCAAAAACGTACTCAGGGTCTTTTGAGGGATCTTAGGCACTTTTCTTGCACCACTTCGGAGGCCTGGATATCGTGCGAAGGGATTGGTGCGGTCTGGCCAAGGAGATGGGAGAAGTGGGATCCTGAACCCGGGCTGAGCATCTGGCAGCCAAGTGAAGTGTGGGGCCCTGGCCGAGGCGATTCTCACAAAGATTCTGGACCCTAAGATGAACAAAGAAGAGCACAGAGCCCAAGCCGGCGGCTGGTGTCGGCCAATCTCGCTTCTGACCGAGGTCCATCGACTGGGTTCACCAGTTCCTGAGTGAGCAGGCAAAGAACATGGATGGCGGCCAGGTGGGACATTGGACATCGCTCTCAAATCTTAGCTGGCAGCGACGGGAGGTGCCACTGGACAAGTTCGTGATCACCAAGGGTCTCACCAAGGATCCGAAGGACACCATGAAACACCTGGATCATGACTGCTGAAGGCGCTGCATTCACGGCTCTTCCGAGACTCCTGGGCGAGGACTATCCGGATGCCAAGAAGCAGCCGCATGTCCAGGCTGGCCGCATCTGGCCGCACTTGTCGATTGAGCTTCGGTTTTCAGTACCTCGAAGATCAGCCGGGATTGTCATTCGCAACTTTGATTTGATTTTCACACGGGCCGCCTGTCGAAGCGAGCGGCCTTGGTGTGAAAGTGGAGCTTGAAAGCCAGCAGCACCACTCCGCCGAAGTTCAAAGTTCCAGCTGGCCTTCGAGGACAAGATTCGCTGCTGGTCCGATCTAAAACAGGAAGCGTTCATGTTCTGAAAGCATAGGCGAACATCGCAACCCCCGGACAGCTGTGCTAGATTCGGGCGGCAGCTTCTTCACTCTCACAACGGATGCCCAGCTTCACATGTGGAAACTCTATATGACACATTCCAACATTAACGATGCATACAGCGCGATTCCAACACCCGCCAAAGTTGGCCAAGAACGTGCCTCTCGCACTCCGTGGGTCGAATGGACAACACACCTTACAAGAAAGTCAGACACAGTGGCTTTTGGGTTGGAGTCCTGAACAAACTCAGCCGCAAGGTCTTGCAGTCACGCTCCCGATAGGTCGGCGACCGAACCTCAAGCTCGCAATCAGAAAATGCCAACATGTCGCAGTCTTTCCGCAAGACATGAGTCGCACTGCTCTCCCTCCCCGACAATCTAAAGGCCACGACGAGTTGTGCTCGGATGCGTCCCGAAACGTAGCCTGAGCATGTTGCCCAAACCAGCCGGCATACAGTGTGCTGCAGACTGACGCCGGCAATTCGCGATGCCGGCTGTGCTTTGAACGAATCGGTGCATGTCCAGCCAAGTAACCGAGCAAGCTTGACATCTTCAAGGTTGGCCCTTCAAAGCCTTAAACAACTAATAAAAACAGTATATGTGTACGTATATATATATATATATATATATATATATATATATATATGTGCCTCTTACGCCCACAAGGGGAAAATGTAGACGTCAGCCCGGCGCTTTTACTTCCCACGGGGGCTCCGGATCGGTCACAACTCATGCATTTCGCATTCTATCCGTTCTAGCCACTTGTACTACGGTAGTTTAGGGTTGCGGGCTTCGGGTTTAGGGGTTTAGGGTTTAGCGGAACCGCGATGTGCCATGAGTCGGAGCTACCCATCGGAGTTATTGTTCGAACGGTACATCTTGCTGACGAGAGACTTTTGACGGCCGCGACCTACAAAGAGAGAAGAGATGCAGTAACTGCATCCTTCTTTACTTGGTCCCAGTCCTGTGCGAGGTGGCGCTGCGATTGCTCTCCCGCGGCAAGCAGGCCACCCTCTCGAGTCGTCAAGCCAAGAATTGCTTGAGTATTCGGGTGCCAGTACATAGCACGGTTGTGCAGGTCCGACCCGGGCAGGAGATCGGCTACGTGGTTTGCGACACCGCAGGTTGGGCCGAGATCCGCTGGACTTCCCCCCATGGTAGTCTTTTCTTTTCAAGGTGAAGGTCATGAGGGCAAGTCTTTGCTGGCCGAGCGTGCTCGAGACCCTCACGAAATGGAGCTGGACTGGGCACCGTTGCCTGCACCCGCCGCCGGCTGCTCTTGGGAGACTGGAGACTGGCCAGGATCCGACTTTACGCTTGGACATGACCTGGTATAAGAAGCACCAGGCCTGTTGAAAGACCCTGTAGAATTACGGGCTGCATCGGCGTTCCGGTGAAAGGTGCACCCCATCATTGCCCGGATATTGGGAGTCGTCGAGGGCACAAGTCCGGGCAGAATCGCCGAGTGTCTAGGCCATTTCGCCTGGATGTGCTTTCCCTTAGCTGCAGCTTTGCAGCCGCATTGGCTGATCTATCGTTGGGAGGTATGGATGCTGCGATCTTTGCCCAGGCATCCTCTTGGGAGGTCAAATTGAAGACTGAAATGCGAGTGTCTTGTCAAAGGAGTCACTATGGCACAGCTGCACTTAAATTATGCAGGTAGTGCAGCACGAGGAGGGCCATTGCCTTAGCGGTGCTTGTACATGTGCAACATGACTAGCGTCCATGTCTTATTGTGGCTTTCAATGGACGCCATGGCTTCCACGGCTCTGGCAGTGATCAAGGTGAGGGCTTGGATTTCATCTCACAGGCTTGCTCGAGCGTGTCGGGAGTGGTGAAGCAGAGTCTACGTGCAAAGCTTGCATGACGGAAAGCGACCGGACATCGTGACTCTCGGCAGTACATGGACGCGGACCCAAATGCGCTCTTCGCTTGCTGCCCAGCTGCGTGTCTTAAAACTGCGTTTGTGCTCTGCATCTTCCTGCAGGATCGTTCGCTTCGCTACAAGAACTTTGGTTCCATCCTCGACGGAGTGAAGTGCAAGAAGTGCCACGACCCCAGCACGCGGCCACGCGCGGTCGCAGGTGCAAATTGACCCGATGACAGGCGGTGGCAGAACACCTTGGCAGCAGCTGCGGCCCGAGACTATTGGAGGTCAGAGGTTCATTTGTATATAAGTATATACTTGTGGGAAAAATTCACGATCAGACGCTCTCCGGATGTGGGTGCCCAAAAAACACCGAAACGCTCAGACACCGCCCGTTCACGGGTCAAAGCTTGTGACGGTGTACGGGGTTTTGGATGATGTTTCTGTGGTCAAAGAGGCAAATGGCTTAGCATGCGGCTTTTATGTTATTTTTATGGCTTGGTCACGGCATGGTGGTGAGGGATTAGATTGCTTTTCTCTCTTTCGGGTACTAGAGATGGATACTTGATGGAAAGCGTTGCGAACAGAGTTCTGGCCTGGCTTGGCTTGGTTTGGCTCGGGTCATCTTGCAACTTGCAAACAATAATAGCTCACCCCCGCCAGGCACTGAGTTCGGTTCCGAAATTTTGTAAGCATTGTAAACTCATCCACGAATCCCTGCAGAAGCAATGTGCTTCGCTTGCGACTCATGTTCCCCGCTCCAAAATCGTTCCCCGGCATTTTGGGGTGGGACTCGTGCTCCAGCCACAGTACGATGCATGTTCTGGGCTGCCATTCGTGCTCCTGTTTGCTTTAAGCGCAGAACCGGAAGGAAATCTGTATGTTCCTTGGCTGACAGCATTGTTTTCAGCAAATGTGGAATGTTCAGCGGTGCGGCTTCGTCATTTGGCGCGACGGACGTGATTCCTATACCTTCTTTTGCGAAAGCCCGTTGCAAGTTGGACCCGGTTTGTCCCAGGCTACTTACTCCATCTGCTACTGGTGAAGAGGCGCAGCAGGCAGAGTGTTTGCAAGAGCAAGCGAGAAGTGTTGTGTTGCTCTGTAATTTGAGAGGCGCCTCCCTTCACTTGCAAAGACTGCCATGCTCAGGTGGAATCACTGGATGCCTAAACGTCTGCATTCATGTCGGAAACGCGCTGTCGTCAGATTCAGCCTGGCGCGGCTCGCAATCAGTGGCATCAGCAGCTCAGGCCCGTGCTTCCGTACAGAGAGTCCCGAGACCCGAGTTCAGCCTCTGAGTACCTTCGACAGGCGGTTGGTGAAGCAGCACTGTGAAGGCTCGAAAACTTGCTGAAGTCAAGCAACTGGAACTCTTGTTTGGGGGCCCAGTGAAAAGAGCTTTCGGTGAGTATCCTCGGTCCAGGATGGGTGCAACCTGCTGACCAAGTCGCCGGCACAGACGCATGGCGGCAGAAAAAACCAAGCCTGAACATCCTTCGCGATTTCCCAATTTAGCAGGGCTGTATTCGGAGATATTCGGAGCATTGGTCCGAGGAGAAGACGCGTCGAGCAAACAAAGGCGACAACTTGGTCAGTGAGCAAACAGTTGCGGCCACAGCATCTTCGCCTTTGTATGGGATGCCTTGCTCGGTAGCCGCGCGTTCACGCATAAGCACGAGATTGCTCCATGAGTGAGCATCTGGAGGTCAGGAAAGAGCTGCAGTTTGCAGCCCATCTTTGTGAATCGGCTGGTCTCCGGATTGCAGAGGAGGATCTCTGCCTGCAGATTCTGAAGTGCACCCCTGCTCCAGTTTTCCTGCCGTGGGAAGCCAAGTTCCTGAATGGAGCTTAAGCAGGACGCAGCTCTGCAAACTGCGCTCGCAAGGATGAAGAAGGCCTTGATTGCCGAGCATAAGAGCGATCGTTCTGTGTTCTACACGACTCCATGGCCGAGGATGCGGACGCGTGGATGAAAATTGGCAGCAGGGCACTTGTCGCCGTTGCGGTCGTTGTCAGGTCTCCCGTTTGTTAAGCGGCAAGGTCAGCACTTCATTGACTGCGGGCAGTGGTTTGGTGCAATCTTCGGAACACCACTGCTCGGCACACTCCATCAGTAGTTGCTCGCCAACGGAGTGAACATACAGCAAAGCTGGTTCAGCGCCCGAACCGGTGAATGCAAGGCATTCGCTCCGGTTTAAGGTCACCGTTGATCCTGCATCGTCTAGATCGGGAAACCTATACCTATACCCTACATTTCTGTATATTTCAGACATGGTTGCCGCAGACTGGATATGAACGTCTCGGCTGGGTGTGGAATGGGGCAAATTCCGGATGGGGTGCATCGGCAGCCATCAGAGCTGCAAAGGCAGTGGGGAAGCTCAGCCACGGTGCAAAGCAAAGTCTGCGCGCGAGGGTGTAGAACTGATGAGATCTGATTTGTCAGGCAGGGGGAGTTTGTTCAAGAGAGGCTGCAACATTCACAGGTCGAGCTATGTCGAGATGTCAGTCAGGTTAACATAACACTGTGTCATGTTTCCTTTGGTGCTTGCTTCATGGCTCAGAATTTCAGACTGCAAGAACAAGTCGGAAGCGACATCAACCACCAACTATTCCCGACAGCCATCATGTCAGTGTGTGAGGAATCACCGAATTGACAGCTTTGCAGCATAACAGTCTACTCACCCTTTGTTAAACCGATGGGCCGTGGTTGAAGATTATACCGAACAACGTTGGGCCTCTGCCATGCGCGCCAAAGCCCGGTGCCGGTATGGCATGGCCACCCTGGCACTCTGCGCGATTTCCGTGGTGGGGCCAAGAGGCTTCTCATGGCCCCATGGCCGCGCTTTCGGCAAATCTCTTTGCTGCGGGTGTGCGGGCTGCTGCGTACCGACCTCAGGCCTGTCACGGCGGAGGAGCTGCCGCCGGTGCCCACCAAACAAAAGGCTCCTGAACCCAAGGTCAGGTGTGCGGATTTCAAGAGCAGAACTCTGCGAGCGCTGTCAGTCGAGAAGTGAAATCTGCGGGCAGGGCTTGGAAGCGGTGGGCTTGGACGTGGATTTGGCCAACGGCCGGAAGAGCGTGCAGGCACCCAGCCTCATCCCATGTTGCTGTGCTTGTTGGACACTAAGTGACACTAAGTGCCTGTTGTGGAAGGTGGGGGATCTGGTTTCAGGCTTCGTCAGGCGCCAATATGAGAAAGTGCATGTCCATAAGGTCTGAATTCGCGGTTCCGTCAGGGATGTCTGGCGCAGCTTCGTCTTCGTTGATATTGGCACAGAGCGGATCCTCGGACTCGTCTTAGTAGCACTTTCGCTCCGCTGCGCTTTTGCTCTCTTCTGCACTCCGAGGGATGCCCGGCTCGAGTTGAGCGAAATCGAAGATGGTTTCCCCGGAAGGGCCCTCAAGGTTGGGTGCCGTCCGCCATCCCTCAGGTCTTCCCTCGCTTTTCCGTCTCGCTTGACAGGCGATCTTCATAAAGCAGCATCGGGTGTCATCACGTGTTCTTGAGGCCGCGCCTTGAACCGTGAGCTGTTCACGGAAGCGGAAATGCCACTCTTTTGTCGGGAGGTGGGAGAGAACGGCGCGATCTTTCTCACGCAACGTTCCGGGGATCTCACCCGACCTCCCCGTCTTCAGAAGCAGGTGTCGGTCTGAGCGTGATGTAGGCCGACTGACTCGTTCAAAAGATCTGACGGAGGAGCAAGTTTGTGCGTGCGGCGACGCAGGACGTGAACCGGGATCCAGAGATGCTGGAGCAACTGCCGAAAGGTATCACGTTCCAAGGCCAAGTCGCAGATTTCCTTCCGACAGGTGGGGCTGTGAGCATGAGATTTTCAACTGCCTCTACCTCCATCAGCGTGGCAGGAGTATTTGTTCATGTCTTCAGACATCCGGACGAGAAGCCGCTGTTGGGCTTTCTCCCGATGTTCCTGTTCGCACCAGGACACTTTCTGCGTTGCATGCTTTTGTGTGGCAGTAGAGGCAGCAAAGCCACAAACCTGAGTCAAGCCTGTGGTCAGGGTTTGACCGCATCGCCGTACGCGGACTAAGAATCGAGGTCCAGAAGAAAGGCCTCGCCCTCATGGCTGAGATGCCGTGTACTGTCCAGCGGCTTGGCGTGCGGGAATCAGTGTTGTGCTTTCGCTCAATCCAAGGCTTCGATCCTGACAAAGGTCTCCTTCTGACTATGCAGACTTAAGCTGTGCGTGAAAGAGACGAAGCGGCTGTTGACACCACATTGTTAATCGTACCCGTAGTATGGCAGACTCTGGGTGTGCGGGTTAGATTCGACGCCCAAAAGCTTGAGCAACGCCTTGTTTAAGCGCTCTTCGCTCGCCGTCTTTTCACAGGGCTTTTCGGGCTTGCTGCTTTTGCACAGGGTTTAGGTTTCTCTGCGCTTATGCTCTCGTGTAAGAGGGAGGTGCAACCGTGCGCCGTGCGAGCCGGACTCCGTTTACGAAGCATCAGATGCGTCTTTGCTTCAACCTCAGCTTCCAGGGCACATGTGAAATTGTTGATCATGTGGCTTCAGTGTATCGACCCGTCCTGAAATGCTCTCTTCAGCTTGGGCTTTTTCATTGGATCTTCAGGAGCAATGAGCAATGTCCAAGCTTACTACAGGGCTTCGTGTGAAAATTGGAAAGCAACGTGAGACAAACATGCTGCCACGGAAGATTTCACAAGGCGAGGGTGTAGGCGGGTGTATTCGCGGTATATGATGGCCTTTGAAAGTTCCTAGCTTATGGTAGTGAATAAAACCCTGCTCACCACACCTCTTATGCCACTGCTTTCAACACACATTTGGGGCCATTTCAAAGCCCCAAGCCCTTTGGTAACCCATGCTGGTATTTCGTTTCCCGTCAGCGACAATGCATGTGAGCTCTGCAGTGTCACTGGTTCCCGGAAAGCTCCGGCGGAGGAGTTTCGAGTCTGTGGCCAGCGTGCTTGACACAAGGCTTGCGAAATCCGGAAGCAAAAGCAGCATTTGGAACCATCTGGTTAGGCATGCGGAGTTTTATTCGCGAAACCAGGACTCGTGGAACCTGGCACTGGATCTCGGACCTGCATCTCCGACGCTCGAAGCGACTCGGAATACGGGCTGTGGACTCGCAAGCCGAGTGCTTCGCTGCGATGGCAGCTTGAGTTCTGGCGGTGGCAAGCTGCTGATCTCCCTACCCAGCGGCATGCAGATTGAAACCGCCGTCATCGTCTCAAAGATGCGGCCCGGTGAGCTCCAGGGCACGATTTGCGCCTCTTCGCAAGGGGGCTGCGCTATGGCGTGCCGCTTCTGTGACACAGGCTTAATCCGCCAGACTTCAGGTGGCACCAGCATCAACTTGCCAGAGTGGGCCATCTTGGAGCAAATACTGCATGCGGAAGCATGGCTGCAGCGCGAAGGTAGTCAGAAAGTGAGTAACGTGGTCTTCATGGGGATGGGTGAGCCTTTGTTGAACTACGGAAATGTGCTTGGCGCAGCTCGCATGCTCCGTGCTTCAGGGCACAAGGTGACTCTGTCCACGGTGGGAGTTGCACCTCAAATAAGAAAGCTTGCCAAAGATGCTCCGCAAGGCCTGAATCTGGCCTTGTCTCTCCATGCACCTACGCAACAGCTGAGAGAGGAGCTGCTTCCAGTAGCTTCCAGGTCCTGGAAGCTGTCGGAGGTGTTTTCTGCCGTCCGGCAGTTTGAGGAGGCCACCGGCACCGGCGTACTTATCGAATACATTCTCATTCGTCATGTGAATGATGGGGATGAGCAGGCAGTTGCTTTGGCTAATCTTATCACTGAGGAGAGGATCAAATGTGCAGGCATCAACCTGATTCCTTACAATCCCACGCATGCCGGTGCCGCGCATGGGTATCGGCCACCCTCAGACCTCATTTGCAAGAGATTTCGTGAACAGCTGCGCAGTTTGGGCGCTCCAAACGTCACAATTCGCTTCTCCACAAAGCTGGGCCGCTCGTGGTCGGCGGCCTGCGGCCAGCTTGGACTGAACAAACTCCGGCAAGTTAAAGCATTGCTGGTTCGTGCGCCTACATGTAAGTCTTTAGAAGGATTCTTTCTTCCACAGCTTGGAATGGGGATCGAGGGGTGCATTTCCAAAGCAGAAGCACGCCACTTTCCAAAAGTGGCTGCTTCTCTGAGGCCCCTATAAACCGCCTGCTGTACCAGGAATTCACAGAGGGTTGAAGCATCGCGACGGTCAAAGGTTCAGCTTGTTATCGGGATGCTATTGGCTCCAGATGCTTTTGTTTTAAGATGACTATTCGCTACTCTTGCAATGCATGGGCCGAGGGCATTACTGTGTGTTGTTCATTAGTTTACCAGTTTCAGAAACACTTCTCAGCACGGTCCGTTCCCGTTCTGAGCATGGTCCTGATTCAGCTGGTGTCCCGAGCTGGCAGTATTCAGTGGCTTGTCTTTACAGGGGAGAGAGCGCCCTTGTGCCCCCTGCTCGTCCGCATGGGGACGCCTCTTCTGTCCAGGCTGCTGGAATCGGCTTCACTACTGAAAGGGACGGGCCGAGGAGCAAAGTGCTGGCAAACCGCCTGCCGCCTGCGAAGCAAGAGCTATCTGTCAGGACCCGGCGTAGCAAACCTGTGCATCGTCAGCCCAGCTGATGGAGTGTCTTTCAGCAGCTCAGCGTCTGTCAAGACATCTTCATCAATCAGGGGTGTGTGTGTGTGTGTGCGTATGTGCGGGTGCGCAGATCGGCCCAAGGTGTAAACGAAAATGCCGACCCAGATGTCCGCACAGATCATCTCGCCGCGATCCCTCGACTCCATCCTCCAGGCCAGGTAGGCCTCGTCGTTGTGTACAGATCCTCATGCTGTCTTATGCTCATAGATTGAGGTGCGGGTCAGTCCTTGCTCTTTCGCAAGTCCTTGACACTGCCGTGCTCGTCGGGCAACTTCAGCATGGGAACTTGGCAAGGCATCTATTTGATTGACCTCCGCAGCCGTGGGTGCACGGAGCCGGTGGAGATTGAGCTCACCTTTCGTCCGTCAGCACGACGCGAGGAGTTTTCTGTAATGGCAGCCGCAAGGAATGCAACGCAACTGGAAACTGAGATTGCGAAGCGCTTGCCGGCAGAAGCTGGAGCGGTATTGGTTCACGAAAAGCACACCAGTGCAAGCCTGTCCATAGGATCAGGCAATGTGGAGCCTGTTATGAATCAGGTCATTCCGGAAAAGTGGCATTACGAGTTCTTCCAGCACACGCTGGAGGGTCCGGATGACATGACCGGGCATTTGAAGTGCTCGCTCCTGGGCTGTTCGGCCATGGTCCCGGTGCAGAGGCCAATGGCCCCAGTTCGGCTGAATGAACATCGAGACGCGGGCGGTTACGGTGTTGGACACCAGCGGAGGATCTCCTTAGATCACGTGACGCCCGGGGGAGAATCTTTTGAGCTTGAGGTCTCGGGTACCACCGAAATTGGCAACGAGCTGACAAAGCGGGGAGGGGAGTTGGTGAGTGTTCTGGCCTTGGACGGCCGGGGCGGACTTTTGATGGGCTCTCGCGATGCCGTAGAAAGCTTTCAGGTGCCGGATGAGGCGATCCTAACACGAAGCCTCGACTGGCCTGCGTTGGCGACAGCCAAGGGAATGCAGTTGTGGTGGCTGGGAGGAGAAGCTAGGCTGAAAGCAACGCCGCTGTGAAGGAGAAACGGATTGGTGCCACTCCATGAAAGGATGATAGCCTCGTCGTTGGCTAGCGAGCATGGTATCGTGATTGGTGCTTATGCGTAGTTCAAAGTTGTTATTCAGGCAGATGTGTTCAAAGCGGCCCCGGCCTTGTGGAAATGTGCCGTGGCTCTGCCTGCAGCATTTGCTTTGAGAGTAGTGAGACTCATCGGCCATGGTATCGCGAAGCAGCAGCCGCAACACGGCGCAAGACCAGCACTTCCTGCTTGCCCTCCGTGCCACTGCTTCTGCCATCTCTTGCGCCGGTGTTGCCACCCTGCAAGCGCGGCAGCTCCTCATTACACAAACCGCGAGCCCACTTGGGGAAGCTGCTGTGGTCCAGGCCACCAGTGGACTGGCAACCGCATATTCCCTGGGCAGCGTGGCAGAGTTTTTCTTAAGCCCAGTGTTTGGCAAGATGTCTGATCGCTTTGGAAGAAAGCCGATCCTGCTTTTTTTCATGATCGGGCCAGCAATCATGCGCACGCTGTGTGCACTTGTCGAGCAACCTGTGGCCAGAATACGATTGCTGTCGCTCGGTTTTCGTAATCATCAGTCATTTTTATTTGCTTTGCTTCTTGTCGCGGACTCGTTTGAAAAGTACTACCTGCACCGCGATTGCAGCATCAGCGTTTTCTCTTATTACTGCCGGATGTGTAGGGCTGTGTGAGTCCGGGTCGTAGGGGCGGTGCTTGTTGCGCTTCTTTGACGCACAGGTGGTTGGACTTTGCATCGGCGCGGGCTGTTGGCGACTTGCCGGTCTGTATAGACTGCCTCATGCAGGGGATTCACTAAGTCAAGAGTTCAATCATAGGCCGTCACTCGTGGCGTCAAGTAGCTATCACAAGCGGGACCTCTTGCAGGCATCCAACCTTTCCTGGGCATGTGTGGCACTATGATCACAGATGTTTTCACTGTCGACCAGCAGCCAGCTGCCAGAGCACAGCTAGCTGCTTCACAGGTACCTTCGAAGCAGGGAACACGTTTTCGGTGCTGCCAACACGCTCCTTCTTTTCCCTTCCCTGACCATTGCGAGGCCTTGGGCGGCATTCTCGGAAACTATTTGTCTGGTTGGTGGAGCCTGCAGGCAGGCCCGAGGTCGACCTATCTCTGCACAGCAGCTGCACCCTTGTTTTCCCTTGCCTTTGCTGCAGCTTGCTTGCCTGAAACAAACGCAGAGATCAAAGATGGACGGCCTTCCAGGGACGGGCGAGGCTCTTGCAGTGTCACCACCGACGGTAAAACGAGGAGTGCTTACAGAACACTGCTTCTTGATCCGGAGAGCTTGCTGATCGGTGGCGCGCTCGGCCTCTATGAGTTCCTGAACTATGCGCCGCTGAACTCGGTGGCGATCCTTTTCATGAAAGAGCGTCTCAATTGGGGCCCACTAGAAGCAGGGCGCTTTGCTTCTGGACACGCTCTGGCGGGGTTCTGCGCATCTATGTTGGCAAGAACATTAATGCAGTTCTTTGGCAAAAGGCTGTATGTCAGCATTACCAACCTGTTGACCAGTGTGGCCTACGCGACATGGGCCGTATCCAAGACTGGCCCAAGCCTAATCGCATGCCTGCTACCCTTGAGCTTTAGCGGGACGGGCGCTTCAGAAGGAAATAGCATAGTTTGAACAGTTGCTTGGTTCACAGTGAGGCAAGTCCGAACTTGAACATACTTGAACCTGCCGAAAAGACATCCTTCCGAGTTCCGAGGCGGAGCCACCGTTTTGGTGACTCGATATATGGAACGGGCTATGCAGCTTGGGCTGTCACCAGGCGAAGTATCCTGGCCACACTCAGGATGGGTAACACACACTCATGATTGTGTTTACACAGCTTGGATCATCGTGATATCCATGTTTATGACTCATATAACCAAGTGGTCTGGCTGTGATATGTCGTGATTCCGTTCTGGCGCAGCTTGCACTGGGAGCCAGTTTGCTAAGAGTCAGGAAATGCGTGAGTGAGGCACTGATGCCGTGTGCTCAGCTATCATGGGACGCACTTGTGCAGTGTGCACGAACTGTCTATGGGACACAACCCGCATCGAACACCGGCTGTCTAAATAGATGCTGGAAGATGACATCTGTTCAAGTTCGATATCACAAGCTTGTGCATAAGGAGCGGTCCAGCCTGAGGTCCAGCTGGTCCACCTCCTTAGGTGAGATAAGGACAGCAGGGAGGACGAATAAATCTGCAAGAAACCAAATATAACCAAATTTCGATCCTCCAGCTTCAGGGGTAGTTCAGGAAGGCAACCAGACCGGGTGCCAGCCACCTTATGTGAGATCTTAATAAAAGGCAGAAAGGGGTCCCACGTACTTGATTCGATGGAAATTCCAGAGTTCACCGAGGCCATGGGAGTGAGGTCTGCCATCGGAGCGGTGGCTCGGATGATCGCACCGCAGCTCTTCACCCGCCTATGGCTGCGAGCCGCTGCGCAGAAGGGTCAACCACGAGCTTTGCCACTGGGAGCACCCATGCTATCTGTAGCTCTGATCGCCATCATCCAGGATGCGGAGTCGGTAGTCGTGGTGTTTGTGTGGCAGTTCTGCAACGTGCTGCAATCTCGTCACGCGTTTGCACCTCCGCAGGAGCTTCTGCACCAAAGCTCCTTCTTGGTGCGACAGAATTAATGGTGTGGCACTCCTGAGCTTGAAGAGGGGATGCCCTTCGTAGCATTTTTGCATGGTCCTAAGCGGCCCCGGGGCACTAGGCCCTCCAAAAAAAACTTCAGCACTGTAGGGCGTGAGGCCCTGCTGGACTTTCTTGCAGAATTCGCGCTTCAGGTTCAGCATCTTAAAGAGGAACAGGCGCCCAGTGCCCGGCAGCAGTAACGCAGGCAAGCCACCGAGGCCACCCACCGCTCAGGCCCGCCATGCCACCACGTTGTAGCCTTGTTGAAGCCGTTTGGAGTCAAGTTTGCTTGCGACATGCACTATCGATGCATCATGTTCGGCGGAAGCGAGGATAGCAGATGACGGTTTTGCCAGCAACACAAAAATCTGGCACGCTAGCTCTTGCTTGAGTGAGCTCGGACTTGCAGCGGCCATGGCATCGCGAAGAAGCCGCAATGCCTTGGCTGATAACCCCGACTTCATGCGCATCCTGCGTGCCACTGCTTCTGCGATCTCTTGCGCCGGTGTTGCCACCCTGCAAGCGCGGCAGCTCCTCATTACACAGACCGCGAGCCCACTTGGGGAAGCTGCTGTGGTCCAGGCCACCAGTGGCCTGGCAACCGCATATTCCCTGGGCAGCGTGGCAGAGTTTTTCTTAAGCCCAGTGTTTGGCAAGATGTCTGATCGCTTTGGAAGAAAGCCGATCCTGCTTTTTTTCATGATCGGGCCAGCAATCATGCGCACGCTGTGTGCACTTGTCGAGCAACCTGTGGCCAGAATACGATTGCTGTCGCTCAGCTTCAGTAGTCTTCTTTGGTTTCTCCTTTTGTTGCGGTCTGTGATTGAAAAGTATATGCTCTGAGAGGAGATGGCCAGGTAAAGAAGCGAAAGCCGGGGCATGGAGTGAATGACAGAACCAAGGTGGCTGGACTTTGCATCGGCGCGTGCTATTGGTGACTTGCTTAACTTTGCCTGTTCAGTCTTCTCGTCTTCCTCGTGATGCCGGTATCGCATGAAGGATAAGGCTGCATCCAAGGAATTCAGCCGTTTATCGGCATGTGTCAAACAATGATCACAGATGTCTACCCGGTCGATAAGCAGCCAAGAGCTCGAGCTCAATTGGGTGCATCTCAGGCCATGAGACAATACTCGTAGGCTGAGGCCCATGCGCCATGTGCTTGCTGCGCTTGCTGTGCTTGCTTGTTTCTCTTTTTCCTGTAGGCCTTCGGCAACATTCTGGGAAACTACTTGTCCGGTTGGTGGAATGCGAGAGCAGGTCCTCGTTCCACGTATCTTTGCACGGCAGCTGCACCATTACTTTGTCTGGCCTTTGCTTCGGCATGCTTGCCGGAAACGAACCGAGATGTCAAGGATAGTAAGGCTTCAGGGGAGTCAGGATCTGTGCCTACATCACCGAAAACTCCTACTGCCAGAGGTGGGAAGAAGAGTGCTTACACCACGCTGCTGTTAGACCCGGAATGCTGTCTTTTGGCGGGTGTGCTGGGCATGTATGAGTTCCTGAACTATGCACCACTGAACTCGGTGGCGATCCTTTTCATGAAAGAGCGTCTCAATTGGGGCCCGCTAGAAGCAGGGCGCTTTGCTTCTGGACACGCTCTGGCCGGGTTCTGTGGGTCCATGTTGGCAGGCGAACTAATTCAGTTCTTTGGCAAACGGCTGTATGTCAGCGTGACAAACCTGTTGACCGGTGTGGCCTACGCGACATGGGCCGTATCCAAGACTGGCCCTAGCTTGATCGCATGCCTGCTGCCGCTCAGCTTTGGGACAGGCCGCTGGGCCGCTAATGACAGCAAAGCTTGACCCGGCTCTTGATGTCTTGAGCCCTGAGGTGGAAACACCGTGCTGCTGACACGCTTCGTCGAGCGAGCCGTGCAGCTGGGCCTGTCACGTGGGGAGGCGCTGTCGAGAAGACGAAAATTGTCCCACAAGGGTGACCACTTGACGTGTCGCTGCGAGGCCATGGGAGTCATGTCCGCCATCGGAGCCGTGGGACGGATGATCGCACCGCAGCTCTTCACCCGCTTGTGGCTTCGAGCCATCGCTCAGAAGGGCCAACCACGAGCTTTGCCATTGGGTGCCCCGATGTTCGCAGTGGCCCTGATCGCAGTGATCCAGGCAGGATAGTTTGCGTTGGATAGCGTGGGTCTCTGTGCGTTCTGTCTACCAAATCCTGCCCCACCAGATCCGAGCAGGAGCTACTCTATCGAAGTTCCCTGCTTTTCCGCGATCATGATCGCCCGAGAAGCGAAGATCGATCCTGAACGTTTCTGATGTCGGATCATAAACTCTAAAGATCTTGTGCTTTCAGCCGGTCGGTTTCGGAGACTCTGCCGATCACTCTTGGTAGATGTGCATTCGCGCAGTTTGGCTCTGGGAAAAAAGAAGTTTGCTTGGCTACTCCGCTTTCCAAAATGTGTCATGCATCGCAGCAGATCGTTTCACCCTGGTAGCCTCTTTCGGCTTGTATGGAGGCTGCTAAGCTGGCTAAGGCCACGTCGTCTCTTTTTTTTGTGAGACGGGTAGCCTGCATTCATGAAGCAGTCACTTAAGCTTAAGCTTATTTGCCTGGTGAGCAGCAGTAAGAATTGTTGGAGTTTCTTGCAGCCAAGATAATCTACTGAGGACGTAAAGACACATCTCATCCTGAATGGAACATGACAACATGATGAGCTGTGAGCGACGGGCACGGGTCCCACACTGTGGTTGTGTGAGCTCTGAAACTCTCAGAATCCAGGTCGTTTCGATTGGCGATGTGTCGATGTCGGCGTCAGACAGCCTCACCCCCTTGGCTTCTTGCCTTTGCAGGTGGGCATGCTCTGTTTCATTGCAGTTCTCAGAAGCACCCAGGTTCCAACTGTGCCACCTCGGCGTGGTGGCCTGCATCGAGAGGCCGCGGCCAAATTGGCTTCGTTTGACATTCGCCGTCTTCCTGCAGGGTGGGGACCTGCCCTCCTCAGAGTTGGCCACCCTCCGGTGGATGATGCAAAAGGTGGGACTTTGAAGGGTCGGTCATGAGAGTGCGATGCGATGCCCCCCACCTCTCAGGCCTTGCTGCGGCAGGACATGTTCTTGCTGGGGCCGCCGGGACCATTGCTGAGGCCATCGCAGCACGATTCACACAATGGTCCGAATCAAGAACTTGATTCAAGCACACGCGATGCGTGTACTTGCGATTCAAGCAGGGAGGCTTCAAGCACCTGCGAATCGAACACAGTCCCAATTCATGTCGACTTCGGCAGAGTCCCAAGCACCGAACAGCATACGCGGTGAAACGAGGCTGTGGTATTTGAGGGTTTAGGAGTTAAGGCGTGTTGGGGTTTGCAGTTAGGCTTGATAGTTAATTTTGCGTGGTGTAAGATGAGCTCCTTTAGGTGTAGGGTTGCCTGTAGGGTGTTTAGGGGTCTGGAGATTTTCGGATGTGAAGGCTCAGCGCGTTTAGGGTTTGGAGTGTGAGGTTTCGGTTGTTGGGTGTGAGGGGTTGGGGTGTATTGTATTGGGGTTGTGGGTGTCTTTTCCTAAAAAATTGGGTTTCAGGGTTAGTTAGCGTCGAGGGTTTTTGGGTTCGCTCTTGTCCTTAAGACAAGGTCCAGTGTCCGAATTTTCCGGTCCGGATTCCGGTCATGCTCGATTGCCAAATCCGGGAGGGCGAATGTCGTGGCCTGCGTGCTCTAATCTTCTGATGAGCGCTTCGTTGCGCAGGCACACTGTGTTTCGCTTCTGCGAGCTGCTTCGTCGTGAGGTGCTGCACAGACCGAGCGAGCGCCAATGTGCCTGCACAGCGTGCATTCGGCAGGTCGAGTATGTCGGCATCACGCAGGACACAGGCCGAGCCACAGAGCAGCATGCTCAGGGTAGTGGCGTTTGCTTGGCATCTTTCCAAGGCGAGGCAGACTTAAAGCAACGCTGTGAGATCTGCAGCGGAAGTGTGAAGTGATCCACCGGTGGATCCCTTTTCACAAGCATGCAGACGTCGAGCTCATTGGTCGCAGGTACGTTGACCAAGCTCCTGTGCGAGCAGCCATCCACGGTCGAGTTCTAGTGTCACCCAGACAAGTTGTTTTGACAGGTGTATTTTGGTGGGAGACCACATGCCATGTGCGATGTAAAACAACTTAGGCTCGAAGGAATCGAGAAAGCAGAGCGGAATGTGCTTCCTTTGCTGCAGCCCGATTGCAAATCAGCGACTCCACATATGCTGCCTGGGGATGCATAGCCTCAGGAACAATCTTCTTGAGAATCGTGAGATGTCGCTGGAGGACAGGCGGCATGTAGTGGTTCTGCAGCATGCAACCTGTACTCCGTGAAGCCGCGCCGCGTCTGGCCTATCCGGGTATACCACTGGAGGCGCTTCCTCCTGGCGCCAGAGCGCGCCAAGCAGCTGCGTGCGCAGTTCGGGAGCCACAAGGAACGAGCCATTTGGAGCCTCTGGGTCGCGGTGGCCGAACTTCCCTCACAGGAGTTCTCGCAGCTTGTGCCAGTGCACGAAGACTTCTTGGTGGTGGCATTGGGGATGCCGGAGCGAGGCGCATCCGGCACTTCATTGTCGGAGGAGGTTCTTGCATGGGCGCTTGCACAGGAAATCCTTTGGATCCTCCGCTGCGCTCCCGTTTTGCGGCACTGCAGCTCCGATCGTCTCCACCCTCGGAGTCTGAGCCCTTCTTTCTCTTTTCTCGCTCTCGTTAGCCACGTGTCGTGCTGCCCTGTGACAGGTTGGTTGGCTCACTTGCACAGCTGGCACCATCGCTGCCAACCTCAAGCATGGAGAGGCGCGAACTTGGAATCTGCAGCACAATTCCGGCGTGCCGCATCGGCAGAGTAATAAGAATTCCACTGACAGGCTGCTTGCTGCAGCGGCCACTTTGCAAGACATTGCAGAAGGACCCCGATCACTTCGATGCGCTTCATCGTATCCTCAATGCACCAGGTGACATGGACTCCCTCAAGATCCCAGGCTGGATGTCCGTGCTTGCCTCTTGATGATTTCGCATGGGTCAGTCCTCCAAGGCAAGCAAGATCAAGCAAGCCTGCCGGTTGGGTTTCGGTGTGATCAGATCTGATGAGTTTCAGAGACCCAGCTTCGTTTGATGCTTCGATGCCACGCCATCCTTTTGCAGCCTGAGAAGAGGATGCTCCAGACTTTTCCCGGTTGTCAACTCGAGGTGGACAGGTTGACCGATAACAGCGACCGAAGAACTACCCATGAAAAGTTTGACTTGAGGGTTCGATGCCACGCAATTGCTTCAGGAATCTGAAAGCAGGCTCCAGACTCATCTCGCTTAGAAGTCGATGGAGGTGGACAGGTTGAATGATGACAGCGACCCGCGAACTGCTTGCGGGGTCAGAGCAAGTTCGCATCTCGCACCATCTTGGAACAGGACGCTCTAGACGTAGCCCGAGAAACTGCTGTAGCTTCTTTTGTGGAAGCGCGGAGGCCTTGACATCGCCAGCCTTGGGTGCGCAGTGCGTGTACTCGAAGCATTTCCAGGCGCAGCAGATGAGTCCGTGCTTGACCGAACTGTCTCTTGAGAAATCCAGGAACAGACATGCAGAGCGTCTTCAAGCGCGTCTACCCCGCCACTGAGTCGGGACCACAGCACCCTCCATGTCTTGCGAGATCGTTTCTTGTTGCCAACCCTGAGTTGAAGCATGTTGAAGCACACTTGCTGGTTGTTTTGTGCGTCAGGCTTCTGCCGTTGCAGGAGCAGGAAGTAGCTCTCATCAAGAAGGCCAGCTCTTGCAGGTTTCTTTTCTGTGAACTTTGCGTGTTGTTTTCCATGGTTTTCCAGCAGACTTGTGGTTTCATCTCTGTGGCACGAGAGGTCCTGGCTGAGCTCCAAAGTAGCTCAGTGAGCCGGGAGCCCGATGGAGCCCCCGGGCCCAAAGGGGTGCTCTACTCGACTATACTCTCTAGCCGCTAGCCTACGGCCTACGCATCGTCAAGACGTCGCGAGGCTACTCTCTCGAGGATGTGAGCCTCGCAAGAGACGGGGAGGCGAACGTCCTGCTGGGTGTTGGTTTGCAGTAGCCATCCGGTCATGTTCTGTCCTCGACGTCAATTTAATACGAGACAGGAGAGCGAGAAGTTACCAGCAGCCCGCCTGCGCTTCCGAAAGTCTGTCTCGGGAAGACATACGGACAATGCCACGGACCTAGAAGTGACGTTTGCGCACGGAGCAGCCCCTGTTGGCAGTCAATCAATCACCTAGATTTTGTACCGAGCTGACCAGGTGGTCGAAACTTTGGCAGCCTGCGGGCCATTCCTGAGGGTCACGAGCTGAGCTCTGATGCTCAGGCGTGAGACGGCCACGTCGCTCCATTGGCAGGCGTCAGAAGACAAACCTGAGTCTGTCAACCGGGAAAAGGACATTGTGAATGAGGAGGGAGAGGTGGGAATCTGGCAGATGGCAGGCTGAGCCACAAATTCAACTGCCGGTTCTGTTGCAATGAGGCGCAGCAGCTGCGAGCTCTCAGCGCAAAGGAGCTGAGAACATGGCTCTCTGTGCGTGGTGCAGGATCCTCAATTTCGGAAGCGCAGAGGGGAGAGTCTATCAAAACCGATAGCCGAAGTTCAGCAATTCATCTGGAAGCCCGGCCCTCCTTCTGTCCAAGCTTGGTTCCTACATGTTCCGACCGAACGCCCGAAGGGAGGCCCATCTGCCCATCTGCTCGCTGCAACGCTAACGGTTGCAAAAAGAGAGCAACATGTCGCTCGGCCATGTTCTCCGCCGGAGCTCCCTGTGAAAGGCCACACTGCACACTTTGAAAGCTCGTTTCAAGCCGACATGCTCTCAGACCGAGTCAGCCAAAGCTAGACAGGACAACAAGCAACAGCCACCTCGCATGAATAAACCGGCACTTTTGCTTGAGGGTCTGGGCCCGTTTTTGCAGGTTGTACTCGTACCGATCAAGCAGCCATTGTCGAGAAAATACCCGCAATTCATGCGAGTCGTTTTGCCCAGACGCAAGCCTGCCGTCAGGTATCGCACACAGGCTGCTTTGAGAAAGCAGAGTTCCTTGCAAGGGCCCAGGATCCTGCGCGAACTGCCCAGGGTTGCAATGAAGATATGCAGTGTGAGGCTTTCTGTTCGTGCTCGTCAGGACCACCTGAAGCAGGTGCAAGGAAGTAATCAAGCTCCGCGACCCGTGGGAATTCTTTCCAGGCAGCCGAAGACATCCGAAGACTTGACACCTTTGGTCTGTGACCGCCTCATACATGTAGCACGGTGACTGCATGGAAATGCCTTGCGCCTTTGGGCTCGACTCGCAAGCATGGCCTGGCGGCCATGACAGCCTCCAGAGAAGCCACTTGTCCTGAAAATACATACGACGTCGAAATATGATATAGGAAGAGGATCGCGGAAACTGAAAGACAGGCCTCCGGCCCAATTCTGGCGAAACCTATTGCACAATCTTGCAGGCTTTGTTTGCCGGTTTCTAAAGTGGACTTGCGTTCAACACGCCCGGCATCAGTCGCACTGAAATGAAACGTGGATTTGTGTGAATGATGCAGGTCAGGTCTATCAGTTTCCAACTTCCGAAGATACTGAACGCCTTGCAACTTCAAAGCGTCAATCTATGTTCAGCCTTGAAAAGGCTTCCTGCACTGCAGCAGTTTTCTCCGGATGTAGGTTGTAGGTTTGAAGTTTGGGGTTTAGGCTCGGGAGTCGGACTCCAGAAAAGCTTGTGCGATTTAATTTAATCGTGCACGCTTCGCGACGCCTCGGCTCGGCTACAGGTGAAGAGTAGCCTTCTTGTAGCAGAAGCACAACAAGGAACGGAGAAAGGAAGGCAGGGGAAGCGGGTGGGTGTGGTGGGCAAGCGGGCGGGCGCAGGTGTAGGTGGGTGTGGGTGTGAGTACAGGGGGTGTGGGTTGTGGGTGTGGGTGCGGGTGCAGCTGCGGGTGCGGGTGCGGGTGCAGGTGGGTGTGGGTGTTGGTGTGGGTGAGTGTGGGTGTCGGTGGGTGTTGGTGGGTGTGGGCGGGTGTGAGAAGGTGTGTAAGGAAAGGTTTAGTTGGAGTGGAATTGTTGGATCCTTTTCTCGCTTCGACGGAAGCGAGGCGAATGCAGTGTTTTTGGCACCCGTCTTGCGAAATTGTGAGAAACCCGGAACAGAGATAACAAAAGGAAGCTGCTTTGCTTTCATTCAATGCTAGCAGCCTCGCTTGGTATTAGTACTAGTATTAGTAGTTTTTATAAGTCTGTGTGAAGAAGAAGAAGCAAAATCAGTGGAATGCATGCAACATGAGAAGAACGAGATGTACATTGGCATGTGATTCAGACCAAAATCGAGCGGAGAAAGAGAAACCGCCGACCTCTGATACCACAGCTGCTGCAAGTCCAAGACCAAGCGTCGCTCCAAAGGAAATCTCTCGGGCAATTCAAAGAAATCCGTAATGCGCAAAAGCATGTCGGCATCGCAGTTGTACTCGCCAGGGATGTGTGAGACATCCAAGTCATAGAAGACTAAGCACTTAACAAGGACAGTCTCTGAGCGAATATACATAGAGGATACTTCCTGGTGAACAAATTGTTGGAAACACTCTCTACCCCGCGATTTGCTGAAGCAGAAGCATGTGGACAAGCGTGCTTTACATCGAGTCATTGGTCATTCAGTGGATCTTTCAGCTTTTCCCGTTGCTCAAACTGTGGATATTTGGACCTGCGCACCCCTTTGGATTTGACCTTGCTGCAAGAACCTTTTAAGAGGCGTCTGATGCTTGCAGTTGCTGCCAGGTCCCCAAAGCACGTTGATGCTTTCACTTTGCTGCAAGAGCTTCAAAAAAACGTTCGATATTTTTAGTTCCATGTTCCCACAAGTGTCTGATTTTTCCTCTGCAAGCCTTCGTCCAGGGCTTTCCAACCATGCAACACTTTCAACTGTGATTAGAATAGGCAACATGTAGCAGCATGATGAGTGTTTCTCAACCTCCTCAGGAATGAAGCGCAATGAAAGCTTTCTTCGATTTAATGCCAGTGCGGCCCAAACCCCTAGAATGGCGGGATTACCTGGACAAGGAGCCGCGAGTAGGCGCAAGGGTATGACTGCAGGTGGACCGAAGGCCAACACTGTGCATGGGACTGGCAGGAGCACAATTTCCACCTGAAGACACCGCAAAATGTGCACGGGGCTGTTGATGTAACACGATTTCAGAGTCAAAGCATGGAAATTTTCAGCGAATCATACATACTGAGTCAATCGTATTCGCAGGATGCGGCACAGACGGACTGTGGAAAGACTGCGATTTCCCCGACACCACACTGGTAGCCGCAAACCGCTAGGCGCTCCGCGCACACCTCGTGCTGACCCGAACCACCCCCTCTTCACCCCCAAGAGCGAGTAGCACACTCTTACGTTAAGGGTGAAGACTCTTCACCCTTAACGTAAGAGTGTGCTACTCGCTCTTGGGGGATTAATGTCCAACAGTTTGCTTTGTCTTTGCAACCCTTGGTTAGACCTACTCGTTGTTATCTTTGCTTGAGGTCCTTCACATTCGGGTAGATGGTCAGTGCTCACAAAGATAGCATCGAATCTTATGCTGACGCTTTGACTTTGCATCTCGTTCATCGAGGTCCTGCGTCCTTGATATTTCAGTCGTGCAGAGCAGCATATCAACAAACTTGAAAGCATGTCCACATATGTTGAGGAAGAGAATCATGAAGGTGTGTATGCAGTGCATTTACACACATTTCCGCAAGATGAAGTTTCGATCGTTTGTTTGAATCGAGGCCGGTTCACCAAGTCGACGCGTCCAGGGTTCGTGTGTGTGTGTGTGTGTTTGGTACATTTCCTTGTAGAGCCATTGGAGTCATGGGAGTTAAGGTCACTCTTCTCGCAACTTCTTAGCACCTTGGCAAACTTAGCAAATGACCAATTCGCTCTGAATACCGTGTTTGAAGCGTGATCGCACAAAGCATGGCATGCCCAAGCCGTGCAAGCCAGGCCTGAGGAATACAGTCGGCGATGCCGCACCTTGAATGCATATACCCGGAAGCGTGCGAACGAGATCTGCTTTGTCACGATTCTGTCTCTGAGATCATGGCTTTCCATATGCGCCCTCCTTAACTGTGGAATTGCATATGCGGCTGTGGGGGAACCGCAACGCCCGAGCCGGGTTATGAGGAGCATGTCAGCAGTTCCTCTTGCGAGATCCACTGTGCCGCCAGTGACTGCGAAGAAACCGCTGTCCAGCATGGCAGGACGCAAAGACAGGGGGCGGGAGCATTGGAGATTTCAGGCACACCTTGCCGACAAGGTCTAGGGTGGCATTGACGTGTGCACCAGTGTGTCGAAGAAGTTTCATATCGCCCTGCCCCGGCACTTGTAGCTGCCTCGGCCTAGTCCTAGTCCGCCTCCGAAGCCAAAGACAAAGCCACACTTATACATGCTCTGTCACATTTGCAGCTTTGGGTCAGAGTTCGGTTGCGATTTTGGGCCTTCACTTGCCACCCATGGCTCTTGCACGCCTCTCAACCGGATTCAAGCCCAGACCCCCTGAATCTGAAGACATGCAGGCGATGCACAGTTCAGCTTGGCCGAAGGAGGCAGAATTCAGCACGGCGCATAGTCAACCACGCTTGGGTTAGCACATGACCTTTGCAGGCCTTTCGTCCTCAGCAAGAAGCAGTATATCGGATGCAGAGGAGCGGGATGCTCCCGTCTCAGCCATGGGAGGAGTCGACAGGCAATGCAAGGCAGTGACATCCGAGGATTCTTCCGAAGATGCGGATTTGCTGGCTCCAAACACTACCGGCCTGCAATGCGACTTAGACAGCAGATTGCTCTGCTGCAGCAGTTTCGTTCCAGCTCGGCTATTGACTACACTCTCGGTCATTGCCTCGGCAGTTCTGCGATGAAGCAACGTGAGTCAAGGCAGTGACATGCCCTCTGGCTTCTGCTGTGGATTGCCTTGAGCTCATCTACGCTGCGTTTGGATGCGTCAGAATTGTGTGAAGCTTGTTTTTCTAAACAAGCTTCCCGCTCCATCACCTGCTGCAGGTCTCCAAAGAAGATTCGGCTAGAGGCAGGCGGTGAGAAATGCGAATGTGGAGGACCGACGCAAGGTGGGCGACTCACGGCAGAGGTGTATTCTGACATTGGATTCTCTTCTGGCTCTCGGAAAATGGACGTGCACCGAACCTCCTCTTTAAAACTATGTGCAACTGGAGGCGGGAGATTCTCTTCGCAAACGGCGATCGACCAGTACTGCAGTGAGGCAGGGTCTCGTCAAGAAAAGTCGGATTTCTGATGCTGCCACAGCGCACTATAGATGGCTCGACGATGTAGTGCAAATTGCAATGTCGTGTATTGTGCACACCTAGTGGCTCGTGTGCAGGTGGCACAACCATGCCCCTGAGCCAAGTTGTTCTGCAAATCATGTGGCATACTCGCAGCTTCCGATTGAAAATTTCCTGTGTTTCTGCTCAGGTAACCAGCTTTCTCATGTGACCTGCTGCGATTTAGCACCGAAAAAGATCCGGCATCATGCTCCTTGGACGTGGCATATTCGTTCCAGCATCGAGTGTGCAAGACGTTCCCACCAAGGATGGCAAAGGTCAGTGTTGGTGCAGTCTCGTGGCTGCATGCTTGCCTCTGTCGCGGTAACTGAATTCAATCATGCCCCGTTGCTGGCAGTCGCAGGTTTACGCTTCTCTTGATCTGAGGCGGTCCGCAGAATGAGAGCAGTCACAACACGCAGGAATCCATAGATGAAGCTTGGCGGGAAGACAGAAAGACTGCACGACACAAAACGGCATCACTATCATTTTGCTGACATGATGACGAGGAATGGTGCAGTTCGGTGATCCGCCCCTGCACATCTCTTTCAGAAGGGCACTGCTGCGACTTTCTCGAACTTCATGACTTTGCGACGCATCCAGCCATTCGCGACGGTTTTCGGTGCCGTTTACTTGCAAGGCCATATGCATCCCAAACAGATTCGACAGGCCGCGGGAAGACTAGTTTGCAGATCGCCCTGGCCGGCCTAGCCTTTGCTTCTGAATTGGCAGGGATCTGGAGATAAATGCTGGTGCAGTGGTCCCCAAAAAGGTCAGCGACTTTTGAGTCCAAGTGTACAGCTTCAGAAGAGCTTCACGCATTCAGGCGGACGCTACCAAACACAGGAGCTCATCGACGCCGCTTGCAAGGAGGTGCGCTTCGTTGT